CTGAAATGTATTTCAGTCCCTTTTCCCAGTGAAACCACAAGCTATGAAAGTAAGAGGGCAGCTTCTGACACTGCAGGAGGATGTGAGCTGAATCACTCTGGCCTCTCCAGCAGCTACGTCACTGCTGCTTAAACTCAGTACTAGAGCCCTCTCTATGGCGCTCCCTCACACTGGGAAACAGGCCTCCTATTACACATGCAGCTCCAGAAAATGTCCCTCAACCAAACCCGTGTTACCTGCGATTGCCTGGTGATATTTCTGAGAAAACCTTCAAAAAATAATTTTGAATGTGTCTTTGCCATAGCAACCACAAACTGTGTGAAATGAACAAAGCTCAAACCAAGTCTTTGCGGGGAGTGTCACGTGACCTTTGACAACAATTCAAGCTAGATTTTTTGGCTCGTCCCCAATTCCCTCTAAATTCATTGTTTTGATAAGTGTTGGGATTTAAAGTACTACTAACAACCTTGTAACATGTTAATGTACAAAGGTGGCTCCAAAGAAAAGAAGCAAGCTCTCCGGTGAAGAAGAAATTCAGGGAAACTGAGGGCCTCTCTAAAGAAGAGCTCAATGACGCCATTTTGCAGGCCTCTAGACAGGCTATGGAGGAACAACATTGCAGCCTGGACCCTATTATTTACCACAGCCGTGGAAAAGGCTGTGGATAACATTCTGACACCAAATATTGCAGCTTTGCAGGTCCAGGTGACTAAAACCAATGATTCAGTCAATGCCTTGGCCGTGGGCATGGAAGGGATGAGCAAATCGCTTAAACAGACAGAGGGGAAGTATGACCAGCTTCACTCTAAGGTGCGCAAGAACAAATGAAAGATGACAGAATACGATAAGAAGATCGAGGACATGTCCCTAAAAGTGACAGAAATGGAGGACAGAAATCGCATGTCAAATTTGTGATTGGTGGGACTAAACAATTCTGAGGAAGGGTTGGATGCCATTGGGTTCCTAAAAAGAAGTGTGCCAATTTGGATCCCTTTATTGATAGGCCGGGATATCCGCATCGAGCGGGTCACCGCCAATTCAGCAAGAACCCTGGGCTTGAGTGGCCTCGCACCCTGACCTTTAAACTGCTGGATTACACCGACCACCAGGCTATCCTGCAAGGGACGAGGGCCATTTTTTCTCATCAAGCACAAACACCAAGATCTTTAGTACTTTCCCAGATTACAGTGCAGAGGACTGCATTCACTCTGGTAAAGAAGAAGATGACGGCACTTGATCTACAGCCATTTCTGCAGTATCCTAAACTGCTTAAGTTAACGCATGGAGGCAGTAGGCTTATCTTCAACTCACCCAGGGAGGCAGAGGACTTCCTTCGATAAACATTAGAGGCTAGTGGGGGTTCGGGTTGGATCGTGGAGAAGACTCTTCACCCCGGGATGGAATGGTAGCCACTGGCTTGCGGCTAGCTAGCTAACTAGTTATGTGCCCAATTTGTTTGGCTATTGTTTGGAGAACTATAAGCTCGCAAATTAAGCTAGCTACAGCTCTGTGCTTCACAGATCCGAGAAGTAGATAAAGGGCCTCATTGCCAAAATTCCGAAGTATCCCTTTAATCTTTACAGCCAATACATATTTTTGTTTGGCTTTTGTTTTGGTCAGCTACCATTCCACTTCCCTTTGTTTGCACAACCATGTCCGCTACTTACTGATGTCAATCTACTGTACATATTCTAATGACTGATTTGAATGTTATGAGCTTGAATTTAAGGGGTTTGAATGTGCCAATCAAACATACTCGATGTTTAGAATATTTACACCGCAAGCAAGTATTCATTGCATTGATTCAGGAAACTCATTTGTTGGATAAAGATGTGCACAGATTCGAAAACAGATGCTATAACGTAATCGCCCATTCATGCGCTGCAAACAAGTCAAAGGGAGTATTGATCTTGGTGTATAGAAAACTCCAGATCTCTGTTGATGTCGCAGGGAATAATTATTGTGGGCGATTTGTTATCTAATGGTGACCGTTAATCATGCTGAACTTATTTTTGCTTGAATTTACACCCCCCAAATGAGTATAACAACATGCTCGTGGCTTCCATCAGTGACTCTTTGCTACAGTTCCATGACAGTCATCTCATAGCGGGGGGAGATTTTAATGCAACGATTAACCCAGCGTCAGTTAGATCCTCAAGTAGTCAGGATTCTCTCCCTGCCTCTTCCCTTGCTCTGATAACGTTTATTGCAGAACTGAATTGAATAGACCTATGGCGGATTCGTAATGGCCAGGTGAAAGCTTACTCGTTTTACTCTGCTCGACGTAGATCATATTCTAGAATTGACTACATTTGACTGTACATCATCACTTCCAACATTCCATTCACTGTAAATACAACAGTGCAACTTTTGACACAAATCAGCTACTTTGACCACTTTGCCAACAACTTTAAAAAGTTAGAGCGTATGAAATCTTCTTCTACTTTTCAAATCTGAACTCGGAACACCGATCAAACGATACAGCTGTTTAACTAACCGTGTCCTCAAACTTTTGACATTTTTACCACTTTCTCAACAAGTTATACAAATGTAAGAGGGTATGACGTTGGTCTACTTCTCTGCTATTCAAATCTGACATCGGAACAAAAATATATTTTACCGATCAAACAGCTGTTTTAGTAACCGCATCAAGAACATTTTTCTATGAACTCTTAGAAACAACTGTCGTTTTGACCACTCCCCCAACAAGTTAGACTAAAACTTAAAGCATGTTAAATCTTTGTCTACTTCTCTACTATTTAAATAAAAAATCAGAACAGAAATATCTGTTTATCAAAGTTTAGAGTGATGAAAAGTAGCTAGCTATCGTCAGCTAACAGCTCTCTAATATCTCATCATTAAGCAGCCTAAATAGAGCCATTGCAATGGATGCTCACAGACGCAGAGGAGCACATGTGGCAGAGTAGGCATAAATTATGATGAGGGTGAGGCAGCCAAGGCAACAGCACATTATCCTCCTTCTCAGGATTGTGCCCCGTGCTCTAAATAACTCAACTGGCTAGTTTGCCTGTCTGTAAAGAGAAGGGCGGGCTGTATGTTGATCGTGCTGCTCTTATTGGATATAGCGAAGCTGTCTCCATTCATTCGCTTCATATTTCACCCGATCACTTCTCATCGCACTTCTTTCAGTTTTCACACGTAACAACTGTAATTTAGACACTGACCACAACTACTGACCACAATCACAAAACTACTGACCCCTACTGACCACAATTACTGACCACACAACTACTGAACCACACAACTACTGACCACAACTACACAACTACAGACCATAACTATTGACCACAACTACTGACCACAACTACTGCTCTGGTCTGCACTAGCTCTGGTCCAGCTCTGGTCCTAGGCATAGTTAGCTAGCTCTGGTACTCACTAACTCTGGTCTAGCTCTGGTCTGCACTATAAATTATAACTACTTAAATATAATACCAACAATAATTGTAACTGTTGAACCGTTCAAGCTAGAGACACCGAACCAACTTTCACATGTTCAGGCTATCAACCAACCAATCAATAAATACATCTTTCATCTGCCTACTTTTTAAACTATAACCAGTCACAACCATTACTACTGCAGTCACTACCACTACTATAACTTATTTTAAAACCATACATACTTACAAGCTAGCAAGCACCACATTTTCTTCAGGAAATGTACTTTTCAGCGATCACTGTTAGCCTAAAGAGTTTATTTATTAAACAGAAATACAGCTAGCTATCAGTAGGTCTACATAATGAACCTATTCTACATAGTTCTTCAACTACCACAACATTTTTTTAAAGAGCTGTTATCAATAGATTCACCATCATATTTTTCTCCCCAAATTATAGCTTAAAACTTTCTAATCATCACATCATCATTCAACTAAAATCAAATTTCATTTACACTGAAAGTTTTACAAAAGTAAATCATGCATCTATTTACCTGAAACCCACAGCATGAATGAGTTGCTTTGCTTTCCTAAGAGTGTTGTCCACATGATCCTGCCTTTTATTCCCATCTTCTGATGGAAGATCTCTTTGTCCTACAGTGGTATTCACTTCCCTTGGTATTTTTCCTATTTTGTTGCCTTACAACCTGGAATTAAAATTGATATTTTGGGGGTTTGTATCATTTGATTTACACAACATGCCTACCACTTTGAAGATGCAAAATATTTTTTATTGTGGGGCACTGTATGTCTTTCTTCTTTCAGTTTTCACACACAACAACTGTAGTTTAGACATTTTGTGATCTAACTGCCCCACAATCCAAAGTAATAAGGTTGATATAGTAGTCTATCAAACTAATCAGACCAATTATTGTACTACATTTAACTGACTATATGTAACTGCTTTGCTTTAAATAGTGAAGTAAAACTTTTGTAACTTCTTCCACTACCACAAAAATAAATGTAAAGAGCTAAAGCAAGCCCCACAACTTTACCTGTAAAGTTACCATCTAGTTATTATTATTATTATTATTAATATTATTATTATTATTAATATTATTATTATTATTATTATTATTATTATTATTATTATTATTATTATTATTATTATGGTGCATTAAGAGTAGGTACACTAATAATAGTGGTACACTAATTGTGTGCAGTAATCAAATTACTTAGATAATTTTTTTGTGCTGGTTGGTTGGTGGTCCCATGCAGAGAGGGAGGCGATGGGCTCATTAATAACACTCTCATGCTGAACCAGACCCTGGAGGGAACTCTCTGCTGTAAAAAGTGCCCTGTCACTTTGTCAGATAATTTGCATTTAGGTTAAAGCTAGCACCTAAATCTTATTTACCGGGAGGTCCCATTCTGCTGCGGCACAGTACCATCAGTAATCAGTGTCAGATAAACCTAGTTACAGTACACTCACGCAATTAAAAGCATTCAGTTAGATCACAATTAAGGAACTGAACGTTTCAGTGTATAGTTACACAGGTAATAGATACTAGGGTAATAGTTATTACTCTGCTGGCAAAGAATGTAATGGGTCTTCGTAAAAGGGCATACGATTTCAGAAAATGCTATGCATTGATAATTCCGCATAATATGCTTCCTAACCCAGGTCTCATACACCTCGCTCACTCATATGATAAGCTTGTGAAATGTATTGTTGAAAAAGCATCGTCACTGACTCCTTTATCTGTGTGTCCTGTTTGACTGGCAGAGATCACGGGAAACTCTGAGGACATTCCTCTGGTGCGATGGCGGCAACAGTGGCTGGAGAACGGCACGCTGCTCTTTCATGTCCACCACCAAGATGGCAGCCAGAACCTCCCCGGCCTCTCCGCCACAGATGACCCTGCCAGCGACTCTGCAGAGGAGGAGCTACGCATCCTCCACATCTCTGTCATGGTATGGTACTGTGCTGGCTAGGGTTGGAATGGGGGGGGGGGGTTTATTGTGATGTTTGATCATGATGTTTAATTAACAAGGATGTTACTTTCAAATTATTTACACTGCTCTAATATAAGTATTAGAACTTGGTGCATTTCTTGGTACATGTGGACATGGTACAAAGAAAGGTTTGGGCTGAATAGCTACATAGATGGATGACAGACATTCAATGCAAAGTAGACATCTAGACATTTGAACAAATTATTCAGCTTTAGAAAAATTATTCTAGTAGCTACTAGGTACATTGCACAGACACTTGTTGAATGTCAAATAATATACTGACCTTGAGTCTCCTCTTCATGGTTTGCATGCATTAGTACACAATGAAAAAGTAGACTGAAAGAGGACAACATTTTCATATTTATTTTCAGTTAATTTTTTCTGTGCGACAGTGGTCTGCCGGTAACCTTGTTTTTACCATCTCATATTTTCCTCCATATCTATATGTAACATCCCCTTGCTATCTCCTCATGCTAAAAGCTGCTTGACAATACAGTCACAAAGCTCTTGTGGAGGTGTGAAAGGATTAGCATGCAGACAGGACAGACCTACTGTAGCAACAGATGGCTGCTGTGAGGTGATCCCGCTCCGGCCTCGCTCGCTGCAGCTTGTGGCTCGGTTGGAGGGCGGCCTTATAAATCCAGCGTCGCATCACTTCATTAGCTTCTTGTGGATACGGGCAGCCCCACCACTCTCTCTCCCACCAACTGCCACTCTCTCCCCACACCACACCTGTCATTGAGCCATTTCCATTGTTCCGCCATACGCCGCAGCCACCAGGATGCCTCGATGGCCAACGATTCTAGCCAGGATTCTACACAGCAGCGCGGCCTGTCATGCACAGTTCAATGCCTGGCCACCAGGCCCACCATGGGACAGTTTAAAGCTCTTGGATGAATGCAGTCCAACCTGAGGCTTGAAAAGAGGCCAGCTATAACTGGGTCTTAATCTCATGGAGACACAAATTCACTGAACTGCACCAAACTCGGTTTTGTCACCAAACGAGGGATTTCCCTTGCCTAGTGGCCACTCCAGCTGAAGTGATAAGGGGCTAAATGTGATGGAAAGACTTGTTTTTTTCCTCCAGCAAATATTATTTAATATATTACATAGTTGTTTTGCAATTGTGTTTCAAAGTTTCAAGTTACTGGTGTGCTCCGTTTGCCACAAGGTGACCACAGTGCCCTTTGCTTCTCTGCCTGAACATCATCCATAATGGATGAGTTACCTTGTGTTCCATGTTCAGCCGCAGGTGAGCTCCTGCAAGTCGAGACACATGTCCTCTGCTCTCTTTTTGGCCCAGAGGCAGAGGAAACAACAAGCAACCTCTAACACCGTGAACCACCACCACCCATGGAGCCACCCTTTTAGAGAGACATACATTCCAGCTGCAGGAAGACCTCTACTGCCCATTTAATGCTAAAGGAGAGGAGTCACAGCATTGGAAAACTTTTGTATGTTTACAAATTCTCCAGATCACTGGTAAAGCAGCAAAGTGCGTCATTGCAGTACATTTCAAAGTTCCCTAAATATTGTAATCTCATTTACATTATACAGAGAGAGAGAGGAAAATAATTTACAACGTATTGAAATAAGAAGATATCACAAATATATATATTTTTAAGTCTGGGGAATACATAAAATCTATTGAATTTTATTGGAGATTTGACATAACAAGCAAATACATAAATAACACTTAGGTTGACCGAGTTTCTGGGGAAATGGCGACATGGCGATGGCATGGCATTAAGAAAGAGCAGGCAGAGATTATGGATGATTTTTTCTGTCCACTAAACAGCACTGAAATGTGCAAAAAAGACTCACTCACAATACATAAAATGTAATTGATCAGAAGAACTCTAAACAGTGTGACTATAACTCATCATTTGCTGTTTGATACGGTATAGCAAGGTGATCAGAAGGAATAACTCCAACAACAAATATTTCATACTTTCAATGAAAAAATATCACATAAGAAATTGAGTCCAGGCTGGGGCCTGGACTCAAGACGTTCTTTACAATATTACCAACGGTTTTCCTTTGGGCACCCCCTCAGACCCTTGCACTTTTGGTTTAAGTGCCTGATAATACTTTGTTTTATGGCCACTCACACCCTTGAAAGGAAATACTATTTCCTCTTTCCACTCTCATTTACTCCACAAATGCCATCCAGATCAGATAAGGCAAGCAGACATGCAGTGACCCATTCATTAATGCAAGCACAAGCCCCTGAACTTGAAGATTTACTGGCTACATAATAAAGATTAATGATAAAAGATCCTAAAACTTAAGTTTGTATTGATATACAATTTAAGGGGACCACACATATCCACCCGGGAGGAAAGTAGGAAGAGGACATTCAGTTAAAGTAATCTAAACCAAAATATTGAATAAAATATTGTGTTTATAGTTTTGAAGGCTAAAGTTTTTTTTCCGTGTCTCTCTTCCGGCTGTTCCGTTGGGTAGTAACCACATTACATTTTTTTTCTCCAAAGGAACAGCCATAGAAAAGATGAAGGTCTTGCTAAAAATCACAGCTAACTTTTTTATCACACCTTATCAATTGATCTCTTTATGTACTGTATGTGTAGGAAAAGCCTGGATGGATGTGGGTTTTCAATTGAAGAGGTTATGGGGATTTTTTAAAAGTATGCTGTAAACTCAGTTGTATCAGCTAGCCTACATTAGCAGCCAATGGCACAGTGTTGTCTGTCAATCAAACCACTGTAATTCTCACATAATCAAATTAAACTAGACTAGAAGCTAGCTAGTCAGAGTTGAGAAAAAAGTAGACAGTCTTGCCGAGAATCAAAACTCTTAAACTAGTAAATGTTTTATTTTATCAAATTGAGGGTTTTTCTATATATTATGAATGGATTACTAATTCATTTCGTTTTCATGAGATACAATTTGTACATTCTGAATCTCTCAAGAACATATCTTCTTTAATGATCATGCCTTGCAATACAACAGGAGACTTGAATGTGTCCTTAATAAGAAAAATGTCAGCCTTCATGCGATATTAGCTTTTATTAAATATTCTAAATTGAATTAAATTATTTAAGTTCATGTCATTAATAACCCATTCCAATGAAACCCCATTGTGCTGTGTGTTTAATGGGGGTTTAACTTTCAAAGATGTTCAATGTCAAAATCAGAAATGGATCATAAACCATTAAAAAATCCTACTCATAATTGTCACAGTTGATTTCATTGTTGTCATTAAATATGCTTTGTAAGCATTTAACACTGAATATTTCACTGACAGGTTAGATGATTTGGATGAACTCAAATTATATTTTAAAATGTCACGTATTTATGTTGTGTTTATGTCAAACCCTCTTTTTAAATCAATGTTAGCACTTTTAAGGGTTATAGTTAGGGTCCTACTGGTTACGGTTAAAGTTCCTTGGGGTTTTATGGCTACATTTTGAGTTCAGTTTAAGGGTTATGGTTAAAGGTTAGGGTTATGTTTATGTTAATATGGTTCCGAAGGTATATCTCATGAAAAAGTCATGAGACCAGGTTGTCTATGCTATGATGACTACTCCTGTTTCATCAATATTGCAAAGTCAAACAATGTTTGTTTTGGCTCTATATACTGTATATTGTCTTCTGGATATAAAATGCCATGCTTATTCAGGATGAGTTACATTACAGAATGATATGTTATTAAAACTATAGTATTCCATTAAAGCATAATTTCCACCCTTACATAAGTGAAATACTTGCATCCTTTGATGTTTGGTTTGGCTTTATTGGCTCTATACAAAGAGACAGGCCCTCTTAATGTACAACATTACACAAGTTTCCCCTACCTAAAGCTTTGCATTGTGGCTAATGCAAATGGATGGGCCTAATTGCATTTGGTGGCAGATTTTCAATTGACCTCTGAAGAATGTGTTGGCCTATGTACCAGCCCATTGATTGAGTTGCTGTGTGCTATGCACTAGAGTGGGAACTCTGCTGGGTATATCTCCTAGTAACTCTCTGGCCTAGTTATTTTTCTGCTTCATTCGAGTTTGGAATAGCTCAATGACTTTGAAAGTACTAAAAGGTAATCAATATGAAATAAATTATTTTAACTTTCATTTCCCCCCAACACTGCATACAGATTTGCTGCATAAGTGACCTATATTAAGGCTTCATTTGTTAATGTCCTTGACTATGCAGAATAGGAAAGCAACTTATGCAAATTGTCTTTACATTTGCCATTTCAAATTTATGTGAGCAGGTGAAGCACTCTCTCTATGATCCTCGGATATCAGTCTGCATCTGAACAGGGTTTCTCAATTTCAATTTCCGGTTGAGTCATCTCTGTCACCGTCCTCGCATTTTGTTGATCTTTTCATCATTCATTAGATAGTTGAGCTGAGATCTAAAATGTGCAACAAAGTGGAAGATTTCATCAGACCGTTACTAGCGCTGAACACACTGAACCCAAGAGTAGTCTTTATTGATAGATAGTCTGATAGCAGCTTTAATAGATGCTCTCTTGGTATAGGGTATATTTTCCAAATGGTTTCAGTTTTTATTCTTCTATGACGCTTCCTAGAGCACTGCTGTTCTCATACACCATGCTTTGGAGATTATCTACATCTTTTTGCATGATGTGCTCTGTGATTATATGGATTTTGAGTTTGTTTGATGTTTTCTTGACGCTGTTGTTAAGATCTATTGTTTTTTCCTCAAGGATCTCTGCTATGCACTAGTGGTGTTTTTACAAATCTAGCAACGTGGGTTGGAGACTTTGGGGAGTTCTAGTTGAGAGCGGCCATCATTCATCCTTCCCCTTGTGTTTGTTCACAGGGAGGCATGATCGCCTTGCTCCTCTCCATCCTCTGCCTGGTCCTCATCCTCTACACGCGCAGGCGGTGGTGCAAACGCCGCCGTGTGCCCCAGCCCCAGAAGAGCGCCAGTGCAGAGGCGGCCAATGAGATCCACTACATCCCTTCGGTGCTGATGGGGGGCCAGGCCAGGGAGAGCCTGAGAAACTCCAGGGGCCAGGGCCACAATTCCAGCGGCACGCTCAGTATCCGAGAGACTCCCATCCTGGATGGCTACGAGTATGACATCACTGACCTGAGACACCACCTTCAGAGAGAGTGCATGAACGGAGGAGAGGACTTTGCCAGCCAGGTCACACGCACCCTGGACTCCCTTCAGGGTTGCAATGACAAGGCCAGCATGGACCTGACACCTGGTGAGTGTAGGTACAAGCACACACACATACACACACACACACACACACACACACACACACACACAGCTATGTCTTACTATACTTGTGAGGACTTTTTGGGGACCAACAATTGATTCCCATTAAAAATCCTATTTTCCCTAACACCTGACCCTAACCCTAAGCATAATCCTAACCCCTAACCTTAACCCCTAACCCTAATTGTAACCCTAACCCCTAAGCCTAAAATAACCTTTTTACAAATGAGGACCAGCAAAATGTCCTCACTTCTCAGAATTTTTGTTGGTTTACTGTTCTTGTGAGAGCAAGGGTCCCTAATTACATTCAGCTGCGGGACAATTTTTTTTCTTGAGCGGATGGTTGGGGAGCCGGAACATAGATTTAAATAATTTGTACACTGCAAATGAACAGCAAGAATCCCAAACAGATATAGTATTTGACAAAAACAGAATAATTTCAAACCTTGATTACATACTATATGTGACCCATCACCTGCATTCGGTCCTATGTAGCAACATTTGAAATAGTGTTTTTTACATTGGATAAAAGTAAAGACTCAGAGCTAGAAAATTGTATATCATACACTGCAGTTGAGGAACAATGGGAAAGTAATTCTGCTTTGAAAGTTGATAAACTTGTAACCCCACTTTTGAGAAAATGGCCCTTGAATGTTTTGGTACACCTACTGGAGAGCTCTTCTTTGTCTACACCCATTCAGCATTGTATACACCCTCTTAAGCTTTAGCCCCACCCATATCTTTAAGGGTTCACATGTGAGGCCATGTGCTAAACAGAGTGAGTTGTGTAGTAAACAGCAAAGATTTCAAGACTAAAAGTGGTAGAAGTGGTAGCAGCCTACAATAAGGAAAAACTCCAGGTAAAACTACACTTGATCTAGTCCTTGGCCTATATCCTAATCTGATTTTGGTGCAGGTCAGGTTGTTTTTCACATTAGCGTCTCTGGTAAATACACACTATATCAAATAAAATCTACGTTTATTTGTCACATGGACAGTTTACAGAAGGTGTAAACGGTAAAGTGAAATGGTTACTTGCATAGTAGCAATATCAAAAACAGAAAGTGTCCAGATATAAATCTTTTATAATTATTAGATGACGCTTATCCAGACACTCTTGTCTAAATTGATGGGTCATGTGAAAGAAATGCTATAACCACCCCCCCCATAGCCACATCTAGCTAAGTGGATGGGTCACTATTGTCGAAACATGTACACATGTTCATGAAATACAATAGATGGCCGTAATCACCCCCAGACACACCTGGCTAACTTGAGGGGTCATGTCTTTTGTTTAGAAACAATGGACCGGCATAATCCCAACTCATACTACTAACACCAATACAAACTGATTGTCACAGCTGTAGTATGAATCTGCAGGTAGCTAAAACTAACCAACTACCGTATTTTCCGCACTATAAGGCGCACTTAAAAGCCTTTAATTTTCTCAAAAAACGACAGTGCGCCTTATAATCCGGAGCGCCTTATATATGGATCAATAGGTTAATTGGTTGATCCATACTGGTTGTACACGGCGCTCAAGGTGCTCTGTCAAAATGTTTCAGTATGAAAAACCAATAAAAACAATTCAATAATAATGAAATGTTTCAGTACGACTGGTAAACTACAAAGCCGCACCACTTGCAGCATTACGGTAGCCAGTACACACCGGTATTGTGCTTACTCACAGTCCCACACCACTTGTGTGTGTATAAAGACCCCAAAATGGCACCTTTCAAGAGACACGCTTACGACGCAGAGTTCAAGCTCAAGGCTGTCGGTCATGCAGTAGAATATGGGAATAGAGCAGCAGTGAGAGAATTCAACATTAATGAATCAATGGTACGGAAGTGGAGGAAGCAAGAAGATGACCTGCGCCAAGTAAAGAAGACTAAACAGAGTTTCCGCGGGAACAAAGCAGAGTTAGAGGACAAACTCGAACAGTGGGTTGTTGAACAGAGAGCAGCAAGTAGAAGCGTCTCTACAGTCACTATTCGAATGAAGGCAACAGCGCTAGCACGGGACATGACAATCGATGAATTTCGAGGCGGTCCTTCTTGGTGCTTTCGTTTTATGAAAAGACGTAATCTCTCCATCCGCACACGAACTACCGTCTCGCAGCAACTGCCAAAAGATTACCAAGAAAAGCTGGTCACTTTCCGCGCATACTTCAAAAAGAAGATCACTGAAAAGAAGATCCGGCCAGAGCACATCACCAACATGGACGAGGTTCCACTCACCTTTGATATTCCCGTGAACCGCACTGTGGAGAAAACGGGGACCAGTACGGTGTCTGTACGTACCACAGGGAATGAGAAGTCATCCTTCACTGTAGTTCTCGCCTGCCAGGCTAATGGCCAGAAACTTCCACCCATGATTATTTTCAAGAGGAAGACCTTGCCAAAAGAGAACTTTCCAGCCGGCGTCGTCATCAAAGCTAGCCCGAAGGGATGGATGGATGAGGAAAAGATGAGTGAGTGGCTGAGAGAAATTTACGTCAAGAGACCGGGTGGCTTTTTCCACACAGCTCCGTCCCTATTGATCTACGACTCAATGCGCGCCCATATCACCGATGCTGTCAAAAAACAAGTGAAGCAAACTAATTCGGAGCTTGCCGTCATTCCGGGTGGATTAACTAAAGAACTCCAGCCGCTAGATATTGGTGTCAACAGGGCGTTCAAAGCTAGACTGCGAGCTGCGTGGGAGCAGTGGATGACAGAAGGCGAACACACGTTCACCAAGACGGGGAGACAGCGCCGGGCGACTTACGCCACTATCTGCCAATGGATCGTGGATGCCTGGGCTGATATATCGGTCTCAACTGTGGTCAAAGCTTTCACGAAGGCAGGAATAATCTCTGAACTGCCAGGCAACAGCAGCGACACTGACTCGGATAATGACGAGAGGGAGCCGGGCAGGTTGGATGCCGTAGTCGCCCAACTGTTCAATTCGGACACTGAAGAAGAAGAATTCGAGGGGTTCGTGGATGGGGAATGAACTGAAAAAGTGAGCTTTACGTGTTATATGTAACTGAACAATGTTGAGTTATGCACTAACGTTTGATTTAGTGGTATCAGACTGTTTCTTTTACTACGTGTTTACTGAATCAGGGAAAGGTTCCCCTCCACGTTTGGGAGAAGAGTGAGCAAGGCTGGGAGATATTGTTAATATGCACATTAACGTTTGAACAACATTACCATGGGAGTGAACGGAGTTGTCAGAACGCTTAATAAAGTTTGACTTTATCTGACTGTTTTGTTGACATTCCTTTTAGCACAGCTCCATCTAGTGGATGCATAACGCAACCCCAGTCAATTCGTTTGACTACAGTATCTTATAATCCGGTGCGCCCTATACATGAAAACAGTTCTAAAATAGGCCATTCATTGAAGGTGCGCCTTATTATCCGGTGCGCCTTATAGTGCGGAAAATACGGTAGGTTCAATGTTAGCTAGCTAGCTAACATTAGGCTATAACTAGCAATGCAAATGAGTTTCTGATTCAAATAATATTATTACTCAGATCATACACTTAACGTTAGCTAGTGAGCCAGCAAGCTAACGTTCGCTTTAACTTGCAATGAAAACGACTTTCTGACAAAATTAGAAACTTATAATATTTAAAAATTGTAGCTAGACTCTTACCCGTATACATGGATGAACGCTTCATGGTAGGCTGGAACCATTTAACTCCATTTTGTTTGTTTATCACTTGTTTGGCCAGCATTTTGTCAAGTCACTCCGGTTCACACTGACCGTGGCATGTTTAGAAAGTAGCCCATCACAACTTTTTCCAACTGATCTGTCGATAGCGCCTGCTAAATTCAGGGCATCAGTGTTGCTGAGAAAAGTAGCAAAACTTTTGTAGTTCTCGATGGCTAACGTTATATCGTTCAAAAAACGTTGTGGTAGAAAGGACTATCAACACATACTGAGCAGCTCACGTTATAGACAGAAGCATGCTATATGGCAGACCAATCCAAACTCATCTCCCGGCATGTCCAGCCCATCCATTATCTCAGCCAATCATGACTAGCGGGAAGGTTCCTGTCTTTTTCCATGGCTAAACCAACTAGGCGTGTAATTTAACAATTGTATTCGTATTTACAGATGGAATAGAAGTTTGTTATTAAGACACATGTAAGATCACATGTTCCAGAAGTCATTTCTGCAAAAAATAACGCATTTTGATAAATAAAATAAAAAGACGTTCAAATGCCTCTCTTGTGAAGTAGTGACGTGCGACATACGCCTAGCTTCCTGAAACGGGTCACATATGCCTCTATATTTATGTGTGGGAATACTTGGGAACGGATTTCCTCAATTAAAATCACTTTGAGAAATGAAATGTATTTTTGGCAGTGTAGGAATGGTGTTATTCTCTCATGCAGTAACTGCTACAGTAATAGTGTAATGGATATTTGTATTTTATTTTTTAACCTTTATTTAACCAGGTAAGCCAGTTGAGAACAAGTTCTCATTTACAACTGCGACCTGGCCAAGATAAAGCAAAGCAGTGCGATAAAAACAACAACACAGAGTTACACATGGGATAAAACAAAACATATTACATAGGACCAAAGTGCTAATCGTGTAAAGACTCTGGCTATGGTCTGAGCATGTGTGTTTTACTAAACTGCTTAATCATCTACCTGACCTTGATAAAGGATACGTCTCCTCAAATGTTCAATTTTGTATATTTATCACACTTCCTACAGTAGGCTTTGACTGTCTGCCTCCAATATGAGGGTTACAATACAAACAATGCATCAGATAGAAAGTATTCAGTAGCATTCAATGTTCTCTAAGTCAAATATCATACTCAAGTGGGGCTTATTGGCTATTTCGAATGTACTGTACTCAATCATTCCCAATGATTTTGAAATATTCTTATTTGTAATCAGTGGACCTTAGAATTGAGAACACCCCCACAATATTATGTGGAACGGCAATGATTTGGAACACCCATATAATTTCAATCAGCACAAGACATACTTTTCCAAATGTAGGAAATTACATTCTAGATTTAGCTGATTGTTGAGATAGCATGTTGTTTCGAAGACAAAATAAAACATCCAGGATGATATTACAGTTGAATAATTTCATGCATTTTACATTAAATGCGAAACTAATTTCAATAATGCAATAAAATACCCCAGTAAAAACCTCTCAACATCAAAATGGGGTTAAGGTGGTGTGGCAGTGGGCATGGTCAATGGTGCGGTTGCCGACCCAATTTTATGAGGCCCTCCTGTTGGCTGCAGAGACAAAATGTTGCTGTTTTAAAGCTAATTTCCTGCACTTCTACACATTTCGCCATAGGGCGGAGAGAAAATGTTACAGTTTTAAAGCTAATTTCCTGCAATTCTACACATTTTGCCATGGGGCTGAGAGAAAATGTGCAGTTTTAAAGCTGAGTGTACACAACAATAAGACATAGACTGACCTGGTGAAAGCTATGATCCCTTGTTGATGTCACTTATTAAATCCACTTTAATCAGTGTAGAAAGATTTAAGTGCCTTTGAACGAAGTATGGTAGTAGGTGCCAGGCGCACCGGTTTGTGTCAAGAACTGCAACACTGATGGGTTTTTCATGCTCAACAGTTTCCCGTGTGTATCAAGAATGGTCCACCACCCAAAGGACATTCAGCCATATTGACACAAATGTGGGAAGCATTGGAGTCAACATGGGCCAGCATCCCTGTGAAATGCTTTCGACACCTTGTAGAGTCCATGCCCCGACGAATTGAGGCTGTTTTGAGAGTAAAAGGAGTTGGGGGGTGCAACTCAATATTAGGAAGGTGTTTCTAATGTTTGGTTAACTCAGTGTATATAGGTCCATTATATTTTCTACACACTTTATATCTGGTTTTAGTCATTTAAGAAATACCAGCCCACCAGCCAATAAAATGTTCTCTAGTTGTGACAGGAAATGATAGATTATACCCCGTTTCAAGACCTATACCATTATAAGAACACTGACTTGTTATTGCCTCAGCCATTCTGTATTAAATATATTCCTTCTTGTCAGACATGCTTCTTTTTCACGTTAGTCTTGTTTTATTGGGTTTATTTTCATCTGTCTCATTTCTCTCCCTAATTATGATTGTTCTGTCATCATCAGGGAGTGACAATACAAAGTTGTCCCTAATGAACAAGTACAAGGACAACATCATCGCCACCAGCCCCATCGACAGCAATCACCTGCAGCAGAATACTCTCCTCCCCCACAACACCTCCACTGGCCAACGCAAACAACGTCTGTCCAGTAAAACTCGAGGTGAGTCATCCATCTATTTGATCCATATTTTTGATCATTGTCACGTGTACCAGTAAAATACTATATCTGCATCCCAATGGCACCCTATATTCTGTTTAAAGTGCGATTCTTTTGACCAGGGCTCATAAGGCTCTAGTCAAAAGTATTGCACTATATAGGGAATAGGGTGCCATTTGGGATACAGATCATGAAAGAGAAAAAGACTGAAAAAAGGGGGCATGTCATTCTGAAATGAGACACCAGTTCGTTCAGTTGACCCTGATCATAATCCACTTTGCTCCATGACTGACTAGTGTGAATGGTTTATTTTCAGGTTAGAAAAGCAATTATAGTTGTGTGGGATGTTATGGGGAGGTACAAATGGCAATGTCACGCTAACCAACTAACTGAGCATTCAGTGGTAGCTAGTGAACTAAAGAGATGTTGTGTAGTAATTTTACAGTTAAATAGTGTCTACCATTATATCATTTCCATCTCATTTTGTGAATTGTGAGAAACAAACACGACTCTGGTTTCAGACACTGTTCCTTTGCATTCTTATCCTCATGTACTTTGTGATTCTCAGTGAGTCTAGGAGAATGTTCCCTTTTCTGACCTTGGTTGAAAACCTGTATAGTGAATATGCACCTGCAATGGCTTTTGCTCCATAATAAGAACTTAAATCAAAGCTCGCTGAGGAAGAAAAAAACAAACCCAACAAAACCTTTTATCAATAATAGACTGAGAACAGAGAGAGCAGTTTACTTAACACAGCACAATAATGACATTTTCACTTGGTATTCCAGGAAGCTTCTTAGGCAAAACAGAAGATAAATGAGCTGATCACTTTCAGGACAGAACATGCTAAAGATCCAATCTGTTAGGTCTTAATTCAATGACAAAATAAAAGCATACCATGTCTGCAAAAAAGCCTCTCTGTCTCTCAAGAGTTGTGAGCAGCCTTTGGTCTTCTGCTCTCTGAAAGGAATCTCTGACAGCCCTACGGCCCACTCTGAAAGAGATTGCCGCCTTCAGAATTCAACATACACCATTTGCATATGTATTTAGTTCAATTTGTTTATTTGGTACATTAGAGGACAAAGCACAATGGAGGAAAACTGTAAATTCACTATCGGTTTCTCTGCTCTTGATGTTTAAAACGGTGAAACAGCGGATCCCCTTGTGACAGCTTTTTTCTCCATAACAAAATCCTCTGTGGTTCTATGTACAAAGTGTACACAGGCCAGTACATCTGAATGACTAAGCCCGAGATTATGTTTGCTTCATCTATTGTTTTTGTTTGGACTTGCATTTTAATCCGAGTGATAAAATATGCACATGCACATACACATGTAAGGTCCTTTTGCTATTCTCAGTGGACATTTGACAGCGGTAAGGACTGGGAGGAAGCTTTTACGCCTCAAATGTTGATGCCTCCTTCAAATGTGCTGCAGAAAAGTGTATGGCAAGCCAAACAGCGAAGTTGGAGGGAGGGCAGAGTCTTTGTCACAGCTGTTGTCTGTTTGGTGTTTGTTGTCTGCTTCGAGGAACCCTTGTCTTTTTATACAGAACCCTTCAGTCTGTTGTTCCTAACGGTAAATTGAAGTTTTAGACTCAAAGCATCCTTACTCTATCATTTTAATTGTAGCATACAATAGGGATCCTGCCATAAAATTCTTCCACAAAATATTTGAAACAACAAGCCCAAAGGTGAAGCTGTGTCTGAATTTGGAGTCAGAAGTCACAATCGTTTTTGGATGTTAACGCTGTTCAAGATTCTCATCTGTGTCCCAGCGGTAATTCTCATGCAATCACCTGCTCTATTTACACATTTTGGAGTCACTTCTCTCTACAGTTGTTGTGGTTACAAGCCTTTTGTCAGATTTCTTTAGGTAGTACTCCTGTGGGTTCTTGCAGCTCTCTTCATGAGCAATTGTCATTCCAGTATCATTGTCGCTGCTGCCAAAAGTACTCTATATTTATTGAGTTCCGGCCCCTTGAAAGCTCAGAACAAAATAACTTTGTTGTAAGACGTGTTTGCACCTGCAGTGCACACTGAGTGCTAAGCTACATTATATGTTAAATATTTAAAAGAGCCCATATTTTATTTGTTGCCATAGTGCTTTGGACCTTTGGCCCCTTGCCTAATTGTTGAGGCGAACACATTCTCTTCAAACTGCTGCATGTGATTTGTCGTTAATTAATTGAAGGTGCTTTAATTCTTCTTTGTAACCTAGACAAAAACACATTGTATCTTAAGTGTCATTTGGATATTTGTTTCACCTTCTTTCACAATTATAGTTTTTGTCCTTGATGAAAATAATTATTTAAATGTTGTTTTGTCAGGAATTGTTATAAGGCATATTGTTTTTGTAGTTTATAGTTGTCAAATTGTGTTTGCCTTTGCATATTGTTATCAAGTCAATGTCATTCTGCTGAAACAATGCCGTAGTAATGCCATCTTGTGCATGAAACACCTTGTTCTTTACAGTTCTTTTCAAGACAGTGCTTCCACTTTGTCCGATTTGTATGTTTGCCAGAGACATTTTTATTCACCCTTTGTTTTGGAGAAAACTTTTGTGGATTAATTAAATGCAATGTCTTGGTTTGGATTTTTAATGCTATTGTCAATTCGAAATTAAGTAAGTGGTGCTATGATTTCAAGCTGAGCCAGCATAGCTTTAATCTTTGATGGATTGGATTTGTCTGCTTACTTTGTGATAGCAAGACTACTAAAACTTGTAAGAGGAGCTATATCACATCCTCATTAAATTATAGGTTTCAGTGGTCCTCTGTAGCACAGCTGGTAGAGCACGGCGCTTGTAACGCCAAGGTAGTGGGTTCGATCCCCGGGACCACCCATACACAAAAATGTATGCACGCATGACTGTAAGTCGCTTTCGATAAAAGCGTCTGCTAAATGGCATATTATTATTATAATGATCATGCTTCTAACAAAATACAGTCATTCCAATGTAGCCTGTATAGGCTATTCAAAACAATACCCTGTTAGATATATTTTGTTCACAATGCCAAAATCTTTTAATCTAATGGCTTCAATGAGATGATTGTCAACATTTATCAGTGTATTGTCCCCTGCGTTGTACCAGAACAGGACCATCGTCCATCTCTGTAACGGATAGTGGATTTAAAGTCAAAATATGGACTGACACAAACTGTATTATCCCCCTACTGAGGATACCCACTCCACGGCCCGGTCTTATCATGCATCTCTCTTCCTCATGCAACATAATCAAAGCATTTGTCCTGTTCTGCGCTGGGCAGGGTAAACAGAGCTTGCGTCCCAAATGGCACCATATTGACTATATAGCGCACTACTTTTTGACTCTGCTCAAAAGTCCTGCACTGTATAGAGAATAGGGTGCCATTTGGGACGCAAGCTAGAGTCATGTTGGTTTCATTTATTGCGACAGAATACCATTAGATGTATGCTGGTGTTATTGTGACTTTCATAATTTCCACCCTTCCACCTCATGAATCCATTTATTCATTACTTCCTGAGAGAGGGTATAGCTAGCTGTATGTCATATATAGAATATACTGAAGATAGACATGTTTTATAAAAGCTGATGTAAATTTAGCCCACTGTTCCAGTTATTCTTTTCCATTAGTACCAGAGCATGATCAAAATATGAAAATGTAACAACAATTTGCTGTTTAACAGACTCCAAAACATGCCATTATCTTTTGCATGTACAATATGGCTAACACTGCTACAAGCAGAACAATATATTGTGTAACTCACAGCTCCAATCAACCCCCTGGCAGACATCTTTTGAAACATGAATTAAAGGTAGTGCTGAGCGATTAACCAACATTTCTGTTATTTTTCCGTTTTTAAACAACTAATTGACTGAAAGATTTTTTCTGTGAGCTCAATGCACAGTTTCTCTAAAGATAAATCAGATCCAGCCTGAACTGTGCGATGTAGTATGGAGTTGTAGTTTGCCAACAGGCCAATATTCTACATAGTTTAGTGCATAAAACGTGGGAATTAACTACAATGACCATAATCCATTGTGCATCTACTTGTCTGGTCTGTGTTTCTTTTACGCCTGCTACTGAAGAGAGACAAATGCACGATCGTGAGGTGATATAGAGGGAAGCTGTTGGTTCGTGAGGTATCTCTACCTGAAAATGTATAGTTGGTATTTAGCAGTCATTAAAGTATGCCTTATTTACATTGAAGAACTACAAAATAGTGATTTTGGCAGACAGCATAGGCAGCAGCTCTATTGAGATGAGATTACTTGGAATTAAATAATAAAGTAATCAAATAAAACTAATGTAATATACACAACAACTGAAATATTTTATTAAAGTAATGTAAATAAATGATGGTTAATAAGTGATAAGTAGTAATGGGCAGACACTACCATCATGGGAATTGTATTAATTGTTTTATTCTGTGTTGTTACAGCATTCAACCCACATAATACACAATGCATTTAATGTTTAAAAAAATAATCTAAATCGAAAATCGTGATTCGTTTTTAATAATCGAACCGAAACCGAACTGCCTTCAAAAAGCACTAATCGCTCAGCACTAATTAAAGGTCACATTTAGTGGTACAGGAACGTGGCTATTAGTACAGATGCCTCAAGTTCTCAGTTTCACTATCAATATTTTGATACAGCAACACATTTTCATTTTCAGGCAATGTTCTACTTGTCATTTTACTGTAATGATTACATATGGCAATTAATATGGTGATGTAGAAAAAAAAGACTGAACAGCCTTGCTGTATAAATTGCTCAAAATCAAGTGCAGAATGTGTAGATGGACATTCCATGCATTGCCATACAAACAGAACAGCGGAGACATAATTATTATGATGAGAGGTTTTTGTTGTGAATTCTGCAGCGGGTTCAACCTTCTTGAACCCGGACGGGGACTCCGGCACGGAGGCCGACAGCGAACCTCAGCTGACCTTTTACACTGATCCCAATCGCAGCAGGCGCCGCAGTCGAGGTATGAGAAATGGTCACGCCAACAGCGCGTGGGGCTCAGGGGGTAAGGAAGGAATATTATACTGTACATACATCATCTGATTTCATACTTGCATGATGACAATTAAAAATACATACATCAGAGTAGATGAATGGACAACAAATGTATGTGCTTACAGTACTTGTGACACATACTGTACACATTCTCATTAGTGTTGTGCGGGTCAGCTGTTTGTTCACCCACACCCACCCGCAATTGCTAATAACCCATCCACAACCGCCTGACTATATGTAATAAAGTGAAAATCTGAGGCCCACACCTGACCCTAACCCGCAAATTTAGAAAATGTGCTGTAAGCTACAGTCAAAGACAGCAGAATTATTTTGACAGTGGGTGCAGGATTTTTTTTTGCCTGATTTAGAAATGTTTCTGCTTATAATTTCCGACATTTTGGTAGGCTATTTGTTAGTCAACTTGTCTATAATTAGATACATGCAGCTTCTCTTCTGCCATTATACACTGACTGTACAAAACATTAAGAACACCTTCCTAATATTGAGTTAAACCACCCCCCCCCCCCCCGACCCTTTGCACTCAGAACAGCCTCAATTCATCGGGGCATGGACTCTAGAAGGTGTTGAAAGCGTTCCACAGGGATGTTGGCCCATGTTGACTCCAATGCTTCCCATAGTTGTGTCAAGTTGGCTGGATGTCCTTTGGGTGGTGGACCATTCTTGATACACACGGAAAACGGCACTTAAATATTTTGTCTTGCACATTCACCCTCTGAATGGCACACATACACAATCCATGTCTCAATTGTCTAAAGGCTTAAAAATCTACACTGATTGAAGTGGATTTAACAAGTGACATCAATAAAGGATCATAACGTTCACCTGGGTTCACCTGGTCAGTCTATGCCTTGGAAAGAGCAGGTGTTCTTATTGTTTTGAACACTCAGTGTATGTTGCCCTAGAAGACTAAATAAACTCTTGCTCAACAGAATAAATCGGTAGAATGAATGCTTCAATCTAGTTGACATCGGTAAAGTTCTCTGTCATATTTTGCGGAAGAAAATGCAATAACTCAAAAACTGGAAAGATTTTCTGTGCAAATGATATCAGTTTGACCGGTTGTAAGGAAATAGAAAGCTGTGAAAACGACCCAACATGTTTCTGATAAGATTTCAGTTTGGCTCGGATGCATATTCAATATTGGTAAAATACTATGAGCTTTTATGATGCTGATAAAGATAGCGCCTCTACAGATGGTATCTAATCGAGCATTCGCGTTCTCTCAAGATGCTGAAATAAATAAATCAAATTTCTCCACTCCTGTTCCCGAGTCAAAATGTTGCCTATATTTGGTGTATTTTACTGCAATAATTGCTCAATTCTGCTGGGAACAGGAGTGTCCAGATTTCAGTTTCCATTTAACCCATTTGACCAGTAGGCTACAGTTCCCTTGATGTGCCATTGGCCTATTTGAAGTCCCTGTCTTGTGACTGTAGAATTTGTAGGCCTATAGCGCCTCACAATCACCACACATAACATAGCCGGCACTGCTATCATCCTCTTTTACCACTTCACCAAATCTTTCCCAAACATGACTTTTCTGGCCCTCCCTTCCCTTTATTTTCAACTCTCCTTTCACAGCTTTTCTCTTATTGAATTAAATAAACTCCGACATTGTCCTTTTTGCCTCCATGGATTGATGTTAACATTTTCTGCCTATTCCCAAAAGCATTTGGCGATTGACGTGTAGGCTATTTGGCGCGTGTACAGTTAGGGCCTTAAGCTTAGGCTTGTGCACTAATGCCAGATAGCCTAAAATAATTTAAGAAAAACCTAAATGTAGCCTATAGATATAAATTGCACTAGAATGATAGATTGATGGATTTCCTAAGGGATTGTTTTCTCTTTATTCAACCCGCCCGCCGCCTAACTGCCCAACCACCCTTCAACCACACAATATTTAATGACCCTAAACCCGTCCGCCCCGTAGATATAACCGCATGACTGTGGGTTTAGAGTCGACCCGCGCAAAACTAATACACATGCATTCAAACATTCTCTCTTTGCTAGAAATCATGGTTGTTGCAAACAATGTGCTGTGTTCTAACCCATGTGAGTATGTGTGCGGTTTTGCTGTCTGCCTAACTAAAGACAATAGTGTGTCTAGCATTGTAATGTTTGAAGTAAAGGAAGCGATTGGCTGGTTGTTGTGTGACAGTAAATACAGCATGGGGTCAACAGTATGTTTGTGAGCATGCTATATATCCTTGGTGCTGTGATGTACAGTAATGATGTGGGGGAACTGAATGCCCCTAACACTGAGCTGTCAGCCTACAAGCATCTGAACGAACAAACATAGCATGCCTGCCTCAACATCCTCAAAAGCACCTTCAACCAATTAAGCTTTTGTTATCTGCATAGGTGTCACAAACACAGCAAGTAACCAACACCTTTAATTAGTAAAAAGTGTATATATATATATATATATATAATAGAAGGTGTGTTTCTATACATTCCCTCGCATATTACTTGAACAGCGAAGCTGATCAAAATAAATGTTGATTTGATCAGACAGTACATTGTTTATTTTTTGTTATCAAATCAAGTCAAATCCAAATGTATTGGTCACATACACGTGTTTAGCAGATGTTATTGCGGGTGTAGCGAAATATTTGTGTTTCTAGCTCCGACAGTGCAGTAATATCTAACAAGTAATATCTAACAATTTCACAACATATACCCAATACACACAAATCTAAGTAAAGCAATGGCATTAGGAATATATAAATATATGTATGGACGAGCAATGTCAGAGCGGCATAGACTAAGATACAGTAGAATAGTATAGAATACAGTATATACATATGAGATGAGTAATGCAAGATATATAAACATTATTAAAGTGACTAGTGTTCCATTTATTAAAGTGGCCAGTGATTTCTAATCTATGTATATAGGCAGCAGCCTCTTATGTGCTAGTTAAGTTTATTTAACAGTCTGATGGCCTTGAGATAGAAGCTGTTTTTCAGTATCTTGGTCTCAGCTTTGATGCACCTGTACTGACCTCGTCTTCTGGATGATAGCGGGCTGAACAGGCAGTGGCTCGGGTGGTTGTTGTCCTTGATTATCTTTTTGGCCTTCCTGTGACATCGGGTGCTGTAGGTGTCCTGGAGGGCTGGTAGTTAGTGGGTTGTTATCCGGATACCTGAAATGATGTTACCGAAACACAATACCATCTATAGCAGTGGTCACCAACCGGTCTAGCAAATCAAGTGCACCTACAGGCCTACCGCTGGCCAATCAGATAGCTCAGATCGCCGTGTCCGCACAGTTTCCTCGAGCCTTAAGCCTCGAGCACACAGCGAAGTTGATATTGTGAGATTTCAATACTTTTAAAACCATGACTAGAGACACAACGAATACAGCAATGAGCTGCTGTTTTTATGAGTTAGTTCATGTTTAAGTTGTTATTCAGCACTGTCAACCCTTTGTTCAACACTTTTATAAGCCATAAAATGTGTGTTCTCCCTAGGCCTACTTCGACTCGTGCTACAACCAGCACTGCAGCTGCAATTAATGAGTATAGCAAAGTGATCCGATAAGCTTGCGTTGTTATTATTAGCGGCTTGCGGCTTTTTTAACATCGAGGAATGTTTCACTTTCTCTGGTCATAGGAGTAACAGCATGAATTGGTGCATGAAGCAAAAATAATGCAGTGCGATTTGAGTTTGGCCATCAGCTGGAAGACTGTGTCCCCTTTTCTCAGCAAAGGGACGGGGAGCCTCACCACTGCTCTCTCCCTCCTTCCCTCCCTCCTCTCAGAGTGACCATCAGATGCAGGCCATCAGCCCAGTCAAAGAAAAAAATCTAATGATTATGCTCACTCAGCTGTGCCTCACAAGTACTACAACAAATGATCTATTACCAGTGTGTTTATATACCTCAAATTGGTCTGAGAAGAACAACATTGGCAGGGCAACTCAAGCATAGCCAATATGCAGTCATAATGTATTGGGCCTATAGCCTACTGCACAAACCTCATTGCTACAGAACAGTTTTTAATTGGTTAATGTTGCATAGTCTTCCTTGTTTTAAGTCATGTTGTAAAAATAAATCTGAGCAGTAGATCTCGGCTTGCGTTTTGACCCAGAAAGTGATCTTGACTCAGAAAAGGTTGGTGACCACCGATCTATAGATTTGAAAAAAAGATGTGCAGAGAGAGTGTCATAATGATGGAATGTGTTTTTCAATCCTTCTATTTTTGTTTAAAAATGAGAATGGATCAAGTTTGGGGCTTTGTGTCAAATTACAAAGAAGGCAATAGGAGTTATGAGATTATTTTCCTGTAATAAGTTCAATATGTGGGTGGATTTCTTTTACAAGTTAGGTCATGGTATTACTCTGTAGTATTTTGTTTTTAAGGATTGCCCTAAGAAATATTCTTAATTAGGAAGTTCTGCCTGAGTTATTTTAAAAATGCTAAAAGGGACATTAATCAAGTAACATTGGATAGGGATAAATAATCACTTCTAGCAGAGCTGGAGGCTGTTATTGGCTTCCTATATTAGAGGTCAGATTGTTGTGGGTTGGGGTGTGTCTGCGTGTGTTTGTGTGTGTTTGTGCATGCTATATGTAGGAGACTACCCACTCTTGATTAAAAGGAATGAATGATGAACTCTGGTGGGGCTGCACCCAAGCAGTTGGCAGGAAAGGAAAAGAACGCAACCTCTGAAATGCTCTCATTTGGGCTATGTTCTTCTTCTTATTTCTTCAGTTGGCTGGTGGCTGGTGGCAGTGGCACCCTTCAAAGGTACACTCTTATCATCCCACCAGCGAGACTTGGCAAGCCATATCTCCCAAAGCTACCGGTTTAATACAGAGGTCCCTTTCATGGGCAGTAAGCCCAGTGATGCCTTGTTTGTAAGCGACTCCCTTGGTGGAGGTGCTGGAGGGAATAAAGGGTGCATCCCCACTCCCTATTATGGCACTATATTCCCTTTATAGTGCACTACTTCTGACGAGAGCCCTATGAGCCCTGGTCAGAAGTAGTGCACTATAAAGGGAATGGGGAGCCATTTGGTGCATAGCCACAGTGTGGTCATAGCTTCACGTGCTTCCTTTTTAATGTCTGTGTCCTTCTCTTTACCAGCAGGTTCACCACGAAGCCCCATCAATAAGACCACACTGACTTTGATCAGCGTTGTCAGCTGTGTGATAGGCCTGGTGTACTCCTCACACCTCTCCTGTGGCGTCAACGTCAGGGTCATCCTTCATGTGCCCGAGCACCTCATCGCAGACGGTAAGGGGCGGGCACCTGCCCTCCTGAAACCCACAGGGGTATAACTGTATGCCACCCAGCTAACTCACTCCCAGACAAACAGAAATGAGGAAATGTCACTAGGCTGATTCCACCTCTCTCTCTTCCCCTGTGAGACCACAACAGATGTGCCCTCAAAGCATCAAAGCACAATCAGGCCAGGTTGTGGTGACCACCCACTGTATCATCACTCTTTCTCTCTCCATTTTGTCTGTGCTTGGGTTGACTCGCTAATGAATTTCAGGGTAGCTAGCACCTGCAGAAAAGCACTACAGGCCAAGTATTCACTCTTGGCTCATTGGCATTTTTTCAGCCATCATGGGAGCTGGCAGTCCAGATATATTATGGAGTGTGACTTGCCTTACTCATCTATCATTCCAGGCCTTGATTTGATTCATACCCGCCACTGTATTCCACTGATACTCTGGGTGGAATTATCATTCCAAAAGACATCCAGGGGAAGCAACTTTGAAAAGAGATGAAATATTGTGGACTTTCCTTTTGAATCGCAGGAACTCAGATCGATTTAGAACGTGTCCATAAATGTCTACACAATCTTATCTGACTTAATGTAATGTCATGGTTAAGTTGATAACAATCCAGGTTTTTTCCTGAGAGAACCTTATATCTATGCCACAGCTGTGTATGCTATGCACCTTCAAAAATATTGAAATGAGTTGCCAGAACATTGTGTCCTATCCATCTTTTTTTCATCTGAGGAAAAGTAATACTCAGAAAAAGTATTCTTTTTTTGCATTGTCATAACAGTCTGTACTCTATGGACTGTTGAATAGAAAAGTTTATAGAACTACTGATGTACTGAAACTTTAATTGACCAGGTAGGTACCTAAACAGTGTTTTCCAACAACCAACACTCCCTTCCCTTGTCCTCAGGGTCAAGGTTCATTTTGCTGCAGGGCAGTCAACTGGATGCATCTGACTGGCTGAACCCGGCCCAGGTGTTGCTATACTACCAGCAGAATGCCAGCGGGCCTTGGATCAATGAGCTGTGTGGCCGCCGCATTCTGGACCCCTGTGAACACCAGTGTGATCCAGAGACAGGTACTATACTGCATAATCACCGATTCTCACACTCTAACAATTATACTGTATCTGTGTGCATTCACTGAAATTCAATATTGAATTGAATTGATTTTTTTTTTTTTGGGGGGGTGGATAATATAACAAGATATGCATTGGATCCACAGAGGATAGCACTTAAATTCATTAATTCAAACACTTGTTACCAAAGTGGCCCTCAAATGTTTATGTACAGAAAACAAGAAAGATGCAAAACAGAATGGAATAATGTATTTGTTGTTGTATCACAGGTGAGTGACAGAGTGGCTAGCTAAATAGAAAGAAAGTAAACTAAAGTAAACTAAATGACTAAAATGTAAAATGTAAACGTTTTTTTGCAGCAAAGCCTAGATACAGTATACAGTATAGCCATACTGTAAGGACCAGTATCTTGATCCTCAATTGGGTTGAATGTCCATTGATTAGTTCATTAAAATGATTTAGCATCACTTGTCAACAATTGATGAGCATTCACAGTTTTATAATTATTCCTAACAATAACCTTCCTCCCACAGCCAGTTGTTGACAATAGAGCTCTGATTCGCCAGCAAAACAGTTTGTCCCTCCCCACCCACACCAACTAGTTTGTGTTGACACAGTCATACTTTTATTAAGCTACATCTAAAGCCAGTCACAGTAAAATGAGCTCTTTTGAAACACAGCTGGGTACGAGAGATGAGATTGAAAAGTGATTCTCTGTCTTTTGAAATAGCTTGCAATTATGAAATGTAAAATTAAATGTAATTATGTTCAAGAATTGAGTTTGCATACTGTTAAAAAAAAAACTCTAACTGAAGTTATAGATACAAGATAATAATGATACACATTGGACAATTATTTGAGCAAGTACAGGTAACTGCCAAAATAAAGGAAACACCAACATAAAGTGTCTTAATAGGGCGTTGGGCCACCACGAGCCAGAACAGCTTCAATGCACCTTGTCATTGATTCTGCAAGTGTCTGGAACTCCATTGGAGGGATGCGACACCATTCTTCCACAATAAATTCCATCATTTGGTGTTTTGTTGATGGTGGTGGAAAACACAGTTTCAGGCGCTGCTCCAGAATCTCCCATAAGTGTTCAATTGGGTTGAGATCTGGTGACTGAGACGGCCATGGCATATGGTTTACATTGTTTTCATGCTCATCAAACCATTCAGTGACCACTCGAAGCCCTGTGGATGGGGGCATTGTATCATCCTACGGGGGCATAGCCATGGCAGCCATATACAGTACATGACCCTAAGCATGATGAGATGTCAATTGCTTAATTACAGTAACTCAGGAACCACACCTGAGTATCCCTCATTTACACAGTGCTTGCCTACGGAGCTGTGAGGGGAACGGCACCTCCTTACCTTCAGGCTCTGATCCTACACCCAAACGAGGGCACTACGTTCATCCACCTCTGGCCTGCTAGCCCCCCTACCTCTATGGAAGCACAGTTCCCGCTCAGCCCAGTCAAAGCTATTCGCTGCTCTGGCACCCCAATGGTGGAACAAGCTCCCCCATGATGCCAGGACAGCGGAGTCACTGACCACCTTCCGGAGACACTTGAAACCCTACCTCTTTAAGGAATACCTGGAATAGTATAATAGTAATCCTCTACCCCCCCCTTTACTACCACTGTCTTTTGTCTAAACTAACACCTGACTTATTTCACCTGCTAGCACTGACTTGTTTAAAGAAATGTACTTATTGTGATCGAGATGTAGTTGTCCCACTGGCTATCCTAAGTTGAATGCATCACTTTGTAAGTCGCTCTGGATAAGAGCGTCTGCTAAATGACTTAAATGTAAATGTAAAATTTACTTAAGTGTTTCCATTATTTTGGCAGTTACCTGTATGATACTATACCTACAAGTAGGAGACCATAATTGTTAAAATACCTTTAAATTCCCCTGTCCAACATACAATAGTTAGACAATTTAGAGTCCACCTGTGGTCCCACAGTTGACAGTGCATGTCAGAGCAAAAACCAAACCATGAGGTTGAAGGAATTGTCCGTAGAGCTCCGAGACAGGATTGTGTCGAGGTACAAATCCGGCGAAGGGTACCAAAAAATTTCTGCAGCATTGAAGGTCCCCAAGAACACAGTTCTCTTCCTAGAGCTGGCCGCCCAGCCAAACTGAGCAATCGTGGGAGAAGGGCCTTGGTCAGGGAGGTGACCAAGAACCCGATGGTCACTCTGACAGAGCTCCAGAGTTCTCCGGTGGAGATGGGAGAACTTCAAGAAGGACAACCATCTCTGCAGCACTCCACCAATCAGGCCTTTATGGAAGAGTGGCCTGACGGAAGCCACTCCTCAGTAAAAGGCACATGACAGCCCGCTTGGAGTTTGCCAAAAGGCACCTAAAGGACTCTCAGACCATGAGAAACAAGATTCTCTGGTCTGATGAAACCAAGATTGAACTCTTTGGCCTGAATGCCAAGCATCACATCTGGAGGAAACCTGATACCATCCCTACGGTGAAGCATGGTGGTGGCAGCATCATGCTGTGGGGATGTTTTTCAGCGGCAGGGACTGGGAGACTAGTCAGGATCGAGGGAAAGATGAATGTAGCAAAGTACAGAGAGATTCTTGATGAAAACCTGCTCCAGAGTGCTCAGGACCTCAGACTGGGGCAAAGGTTCACCTTCCAACAGGACAACGACCCTAAGCACACAGCCAAGACAACGCAGGTGTGGCTTCGGGAAAAGTCTCTGAATGTCCTTGAGTGGCCCAGCCAGAGCCCGGACTTGAACCTGATCGAACATCTCTGGAGAGACCTGAAAATAGCTGTGCAGCAACTCTCCCCATCCAACCTGACAGAGCTTGAGAAGAGAAGAATGGGAGAAACTCCCCAAATACAGGTGTGCCAAGCTTGTGCGTCATACCCAAGAAGACTCGTGGCTGTAATCGCTGCAAAAGATGCTTCAACAAAGTACTGAGTAAAGGGTCTGAATACCTATGTAAATGTGATATTTCCGTTTTTTATTTGTAATACATTTGCAAAAATTCCTGAAAACCTGTTTTTGCTTTGTCATTATGGGGTATTATGTGTTGATTGATGAGGGAAAAAAACATTTAATCAATTTTAGAATAAGGCTGTAACGTAACAAAATGTGGAAAAAGTCAACGGGTCTGAATACTTTCCGGATTCACTGTATATACAGTACCAGTCAAAAGTTTGGACACACCTACTCATTCAAGGGTTTTTCTTTATTTTTACTATTTTCTACATTGTAGAATAATAGTGAAGACATCAAAACTATTAAATAACACATATGGAATCATGTAGTAACCAAAAAAGTGTTAAACAAATCAAAATGTATTTTATATTTGAGATTCTTCAAATAGCCACCATTTGCCTTGATAACAGCTTTGTGCACTCTTGACATTCTCTCAACCAGCTTCACCTGGAATTATTTTCCAACAGTCTTGAAGGAGTTCCCACATATGCTGAGCACTTGTTGGTTGCTTTTCCTTCACTCTGCCGTCCGACTCATCCCAAACCATCTCAATTGGGTTGAGGTCGGGGGATTGTGGAGGCCAGGTCATCTGATGCAGCACTCCATCACTCTCCTTCTTGGTCAAATAGCCCTTACACAGCCCGGAGGTGTGTTGGGTCATTGTCCTGTTGAAAACAAATGATAGTCCCACTATGCTCAAACCAGATGGGATGACATATCACTGCAGAATGCTGTGGTAGCCATGCTGGTTAAGTGTGCCTTGAATTCTAAATAAATCACAGACAGTGTCACCAGCAAAGCACCCCCACACCATAACACCACCTCCTCCATGCTTTACGGTGGGAACTACACATGCAGAGATCATCCGTTCACCCACGCCGCGTCTCACAACAACACGGCGGTTGGAAGCAAAAATCTCCAATTTGGACTCCAGACCAAAGGACACATTTCCACCGGTCTAAAGTCCATTGCTCGTGTTTCTTGGCCCAAGCAGATCTCTTCTTCTTATTTGTGTCCTTAAGTAGTGGTCTCTTTGCACAATTCGACTATGAAGGCCTGATTCACACAGTCCCCTCTGAACAGTTGATGTTGAGATGTGTCTGTAATTGAACTCTGTGAAGCATTTATTTGGGCTGCAATTTCTGAGGCTGTTAACTCTAATGAACTACATCTGGGTCTCCCATTCCTGTGGTGGTCCTCATGAGAGCCCGTTTCATCATAGCGCTTGATGGTTTTTGCGACTGCATTTTAAGAAACTTTCAAAGTTCTTGAAATTGTCGATATTGACTGACCTTCACATCTTAAAGTAATGATGGATTGTCATTTCTCTTTGATTATTTGAGCTGTTCTTGCCATAATATGAATTTGGTCTTTTACCAAATAGGGCTATCTTCTGTATACCCCCCTACCTTGTCACAACACAGCTGATTGGCTCAAACGCATTAAGAAGGAAATAAATTCCACAAATTAACTTTTAACAAGGCACACCTGTTAATTGAAATGCATTCCAGGTGACTACCTCATGAAGCTGGTTGAGAGAATGCCAAGAGTGTGCAAAGCTGTCATCAAGGCAAAGGGTGGCTATTTGAAGAATCTCAAATATAAAATATATTTTGATTTGTTTAACACTTTTTTGGTTAGTACATAATTCCATATGAGTTATTTCATAGTTTGTTATTTTATGTCTTCACTATTATTCTACAATTTAAAAAATAGTAAAAATAAAGAAAAACCCTTGTATGAGTAGGTGTGTCCAAACTTATGACTGGTAGTGTATATATTCTTTAATTTATATTCATTAATACTGCCAGGTTTTGTTGTTGATTTTCAGCTAGTGTCACGACTTCCGCCGAGGCTGCCTCCCCTCCTTGTTCGGGCAGGTTTCGGCGTTCGTCGTCACCGGCTTACTAGCTACTGCCGCTCCCATTCTCATCACTCCACTTGTCTTGTCTTGTCAGTCACTCACACCTGGTGCTCATCCCCTAATTAGTCTGTGTATAAGTGTTCCCTCTGCCCCCTTGTCTTTGTGAGTGATTGTTCTATGTGGGAGGAGAGTAGCTCGGTTGAGATACTCTCTCATTTATTTTGCCAGGGTTGATTTTCCCCTGTGTCATTACATTTATTGTATTTTCTGAGACTGTGTTTGGTCAGGGAGGATTGTTTCCCCTGTACCTGTTTCGATTGCCGTTGTAGGCGCATTGTATGTCTGGAAGGAATACATCTGCATCTGGTTATTTTACTCCTGCGTCTGACTCCGTCTATCATTCACCACAGAATCACTCACCTTGTTGAAATGGAGTCAGCAGGAGAAGACCGCATGCCTGGAGTCGTGGCAAGGGTCCAGGAGCATTCCACGATGCTGGCCAGCTTGGGGGAATCGATGGATCGTGTTCTTCAGGTCGTCCAACGCCTGGAGAGGAGAGGACCCGATCTGTCGAGACCAGCTGGCCAACCGGATCCAACCACCTACATCCCAGCACCCGGAGGGATCCAGATATCCTGGCCACCGGCATTTGATGGGACGGCAGCGCGCTGTAAAGGATTCCTTCTCCAACTGGAGCTGTATTTCTCCAGCATCAGGCCGGCGTCATTGGAGCGGGACAAGGTATCCGTCCTCGTTTCCTGCATCTGTGGGAAGGCCCTGGAGTGGGCCAGCGCGGTGTGGAACGAAGGAGGAGCCGCGTTGGAGGACTACAGGGAGTGCGCTCGCCTCTTTCGGGTGGTTTTCGATCACCCTCCCGAGGGTCGAGAGGTAGGCGAGTGGCTGGTCCAGCTGAGGCAGGGGACGAGGACCACACAGGACTACGCGCTGGAGTTCCGGATGCTGGCGGCGTGGTCCGGGTGGAACGAGCGGGCCCTGATCGACCATTTCCGGTTTCACCTACGGGAGGACGTCCGACGGGAGCTAGCCTGCCGGGATGCCATGCTATCGTTCTCCCAACTGGTGGACATGGCCATCCGGCTGGACAATCTGCTGGCAGCCAGAGGACATCCTGGTAGGGGTCTGCCCGTTCCCACACCGGACGACTCGGATCCCGAGCAGATGCAGCTGGGTGGAGCCGCCGGTCGAGAGCGGAGGAGGACAGTGACAGTGCCACTCTGGTGGCACGAAGGGACAATACACCTCACGTCGCAGTCAACGTTCTTTTGGGTCTGGAGGTGGTAGGCAGGGCACTCACGCATCACCCCAGGTATCGAACACCCACACTTGTTCAGAACCCTTTGCGGCGCACTGTACCCTATCTATCTCCTTTCCCAATCACATGGTAGTTCCCCAGTGTAAGGCGCTAGTCGATTCAGGCGCAGCTGGGAACTTTATGGGCATTTGCACGCCGTCAAGGCATTTCATTGGTTCCCCTATCCCCATCAGAGCCCTTGATAGTCGACCATTAGGGTCAGGGTTAGTTAAGGAGGTTACTGTACCAGTCACCATGATCACCCAGGAGACTCATTTTGAGCAGATCACCTTTTTGATTATTGAATCTCCTGCTTACCCTGTAGTATTAGGTGTCCCGTGGTTAGCCCTTCACAACCGCAATTTCTCATGGCCGCAGAGGGTTCTTACGGGGTGGTCGCGTTTCTGTTGGTTCAACCACGGTGGAAAGTCCAGACGGTACCCCCACCGTGCGCATTCCCCCCGAATACCATGATCTGGCGCTCGCATTTTCCAAGATGCAAGCGATTAAATTACCACCTCATCGGGAGGGGGATTGCGCAACAAACCTTCCCCTGTCGCAGGCTGAAACGGAGGCTATGGAGACATACTTCACAGAGTCCCTGGGCCAGGGTTATATACGTCCCTCCACTACACCTGCTTCCTCGAGTTTATACTTTGTGGAGAAGAAAAATGGCTGTTTACGCCCGTGCATTGATTATCGACCACTGAACAAGGTGACGATACGATTTAGTTATCCTCTTCCCCTCATTCCTTCAGTGATTGAATCAATGCATGGGGCCTGCTTCTTCACCAAATTAGATCTCAGGAGTGCCTACAACCTTGTGCGTATTCGGGAAGGGGATGAGTGGAAAACAGCATTCATCACAACCTCGGGGCATTATGAATACCTGGTGATGCCCTACGGTTTGATGAATTCTCAATCCGTCTTCCAGTCATTTGTGAACGAGGTGTTTCGGGACATGCTTGGTCGCGGTGTGGTGGTCTACATCGATGACATCCTGGTGTATTCCACTACGTGCGCCGAGCATGTGTCCCTGATTCACAAGGTACTGGTCCGACTGCTGGAGAATGACCTTTATGCCAAGGCAGAAAAGTGTGAGTTTTTCCAGCATTCAGTCTCCTTCCTCAGATACCGCATTACTACCTCAGGTGTGGAGATGGAGGGAGATCGCATTTCAACCGTGCGTAATTGGCCATCTCCAACCACGGTTAAGGAGGTGCAGCGCTTCCTTTGCTTTGCCAACTACAATCTGAGGTTTATCCGGGGCTTTGGCAAGGTCGCAGCTCCCATTACCTCCTTGTTGAAGGGTGGGCTGTCCCAGCTCCGCTGGTCTGCTGAGGCTGACCTGGCCTTCAGTAGACTGCGGGGTCTGTTCACCTCAGCCCCGGTACTGGCCCACCCCGATCCATCACTACCATTCGTAGTGGAGGTGGATGCGTCCGATGTAGGGATAGGCGCTGTCCTGTCTCAACGCTCGGGCACGCCACCCAAGCTCCGCCCCTGTGCCTTCTTCTCTAAGTAGCTCAGCTCGGCGGAGCAGAACTACGCCGTTGGTGATCGGGAGCTGCTGGCTGTTGTCCGAGCTTTGACCGTGTGGAGGCATTGGCTCGAAGGTGCGAAACAGCCTTTCCTCATCTGGACAGACCACCGTAACCTGGAGTACATCCGGGTAGCGAGGAGGCTGAATCCTCGCCAGGCCAGGTGGGCCCTCACCCGGTTTGATTTCACACTATCATACATTCCGGGTAAGAAGAACGTGAAGGCAGACGCACTGTCCCTGCTGTATGACACAGAGGAGAGGCCCAGAGACAACACCCCCATACTCCCGGCCTCCTGCATCGTGGCGACGGTAGTGTGGGCAATGGACGCGGATATAGAGCGGGCATTACGCCACAGATTCATCTCCACCTCACTGTCCAGCTGGGCTGCGGTACGTGCCTGCTCTTATCCGTGATCGTTTGATCTATTGGGCACACACGTCACCCTCCTCTGGTCACCCAGGTATCGGTCGTACAGTGCGCTGCCTGACCGATAAATACTGGTGGCCTACCTTGGCTAAGGACGTGAGGGTGTACGTCTCCTCCTGCTCGGTGTGTGCCCAGAGTAAGGCACCTAGGCACCTCCCAGCGGGTAAGTTGCAACCATTACCAGTTCCACAACGACCATGGTCTCATTTAAGTATTGATTTTCTTACTGATCTTCCCCTCTCCCAAGGTAACACCACCATCCTGGTCGTTTTGGACTGCTTTTCGAAGTCCTGCCGCCTCCTTCCTCTGCCCAGTCACCCCACGGCCCTACAAACTGCGGAGGCCCTGTTTACTCACGTCTTCCGGCACTACGGGGTACCAGAGGATATAGTGTCCGACCGAGGTCCCCAGTTCACGTCTAGAGTCTGGAAGTCGTTCATGGAACGTCTGGGGATCTCGGTCAGCCTGACCTCTGGATTCCACCCCGAGAGTAATGGGCAGGTGGAAAGGGTTAATCAAGATGTGGGTAGGTTCCTGCGGACCTACTGCCAGGACAGGCAGTCACTCCTCCACTAACCTAACACCCTTCCAATGTGTTTTAGGTTACCAACCGGTTCTGGCACCGTTGCACCAGAGCCAGACCGAGGCTCCTGCGGTGGATGACTGGTTTCGGCGCGCGGAGGAGACTTGGGACGCTGCCCACGTTCACCTCCAGTGCGCTGTGCGTCGTCAGAAGGCCAACGCTGACCAACACCGCAGAGAGGCCTCGGTCTTCGTACCGGGTGATCGGGTTTGGCTCTCGACCCGGAATCTGCCCCTCCGCCTGCCCTGTCGGAAGCTGAGCCCGCGGTTTGTGGGGCCGTTTATAGTCCTGAGGAGGATAAACGAGGTCACATACAGGTTATTACTTCCCCCTCATTACCGTATGAACCCCTCATTTCATGTGTCTCTCCTCAGGGCGGTGGTGGTTGGTTCGCTCCAGGAGTCTGAGGTGCGGGAGGTCCCTCCACCTCCTCTGGACATTGAGGGGGCCCCGGCGTACTCGGTCCTTTCCCTCCTGGATTCGAGGCGTCGGGTTGGGGGCCTTCAGTACCTCGTGGAGTGGGAGGGGTACGGTCCAGGGATGTAGCTCAGTTGGTAGAGCATGGCATTTGCAACGCCAGGGTTGTGGGTTCGATTCCAGTATAAAAAATAAAAATGTATGCACTCACTAACTGTAAGTCGCTCTGGATAAGAGCGTCTGCTAAATGACGTAAATGTAATGTAAATGTCCAGAGAAACGTTGCTGGGTCCCGGAGAGGGACATCCTCGATCCCTCCCTGTTGCGGGATTTCCACCTTTGCCATCCGGCGCGCCCTGCTCCGCGTCGGCGCGCTGCTGGAGCCGCGCGTCAAAGGGGCGGGTACTGTCACGACTTCTGCCGAGGCTGCCTCCCCTCCTTGTTCGGGCAGGTTTCGGCGTTCGTCGTCACCGGCTTACTAGCTACTGCCATTCTCATCACTCCACTTGTCTTGTCTTGTCAATCACACATACCTGGTGCTCATCCCCTAATTAGTCTGTGTATAAGTGTTCCCTCTGCCCCCTTGTCTTTGTGAGTGATTGTTCTATGTGGGAGGAGAGTAGCTCGGTTGAGATACACTCTCATTTATTTTGCCAGGGTTGATTTTCCCCTGTGTCATTACATTTATTGTATTTTCTGAGACTGTGTTTGGTCAGGGATGATTGTTTCCCCTATACCTGTTTCGAATGCCATTGTAGGCGCATTGTATGTCTGGAAGGAATACATTTGCATCCGGTTATTTTACTCCTGCGCCTGACTCCGTCCATCATTCACCACAGCTAGATATTTCATTATACTGGGTTGGTTTTCACCAATGAAGCCTGCTATATTGTAATGCTATAACAACAAACTGAGGGGAATGAGGGGAAACTGATATCAACAAAGTACAGCCTCTCATATTTACAAACAAATAAACTTGTAATTTACATTTGTCTTTAGATGTTTTGTTTTTCACCTCTGTTGTAGACATTAAAAAATAATCTTTGTTTAGGCAAAAACTCAGTAATCCGTAGCCGTGTTCTATAATTATTTTGGGGTTTAAAGGGTTAACTTGTATCAATACACAGAATGCTGGCAGAATGTCATTGAATCTCTCTAATTATCAGTATAATATAGAACGTGTGTACCATGCTACTGATCAGTATAGAAAGCATATCTCATGTTAATGACTTTTGGGAAAAGGAGTTCTCTCCATGTTTGCATCCATAATTTAAGACGGACTGGTGTCTCCGGTATACTGTGTGAATTGTCAGACCTAAATGAATCAAAAGTTGGACCACTGGGACACACACTGCCTGGATTCCTTGAAATTGAATATATAATTTCAGCCCCTCTCATTAAAATTAAATATAGAATAGGAGGCCTGGTGCAATGCTTCAATAATTGCATTGTGTTTTTCATATGATGAATTCTTAATGCAACCCCCTCTACTGCAACCCCCTCTTGCAGGGTTCTAGATACCAGCTAGCTACAAGACGGGCTCAATCCTTCTCAGGGAGAAGATACTGATGAAAAGAGGGATGGGTTGTGACAATAACTGTGGTTCTGCAAACATTTCAAAAGTTTGTGAATTTTAAACATAACTGTGTGAGGAGAGTGCTGGAGGTGCTATAGGCTGTTGTTTATGGCTCATCTTACTGACAAATTCTGCTTCCCCTTGAAGGATATGAGACATTTATTACATATAAACATATTGTGTTATATCTGGTTTACGTACACTACCAGTCAAACGTTTGGACACACGTACTCATTCAAGGGGTTGTCTTTATTTTTACCGTTTTTTAAATTGTAGAATAATAATGAAGACATCAAAATTATGAAATGACATATAAGGAATCATGTAGTAACCAAAAAAGTGTTAAACAAGTCCAAATATATTTTATATTTGAGATTCTTCAAATAGCCACCTTTTGCCTTAATGATAGTGTTGCACACTCTTGGCATCCTCTCCACCAGCTTAATGAGGTAGTCACCTGGAATGCATTTCAATTAACAGGTGTGCCTTGTTAAAAGTTAATTTGTGGAATTTCTTTCCTTCTTAATGCATTTGTGCCAATCAGCTGTGTTGTGACAAGGTAGGGGGGTATACTGAAGATAGCCCTATTTGGTAAAAGACCAAGTCCATATTATGGCAAGAATAGCTCAAACAAGCAAAGAGAAACGACAGTCCATCATTACTTTAAGAGATGAAGGTCAGTCGATACGGAACATTTCAGGAACTTTTAAAGTTTCTTCAAGTGCAGTCGCAAAAACCATCAAGCGCTATGATGAAACTGGCTGTCATGAGGACTGCCACAGGAATGGAAGACCCAGAGTTACCTCTGCTGAGGAGTAAAAGTTCATTAGAGTTACCAGCCTCAGAAATTGCAGCCCAAATAAATGCTTCACAGAGTTCAAGTAACAGACACATCTCAACATCAACTGTTCAGAGGAGACTGTGTGAATCAGGCCTTCGTGGTCGAATTGCTGCAAAGAAACCACTACGAAAGTACACCAATAAGAAGAAGAGACTTGCTTGGGCCAAGAAACACGAGCAAAGGACTGGTGGAAATGTGTCCTTTGGTCTGGAGTCCAAATTTGAGATTTTTGGTTTCAACCGCCGTGTCTTTGTGAGACGCTGTGTGGGTGAACGGATGATCTCTGCATGTGTATTTCCCACCGTAAAGCATGGAGGAGGAGGTGTTATGGTGTAGGGGTGCTTTGCTGATGACACTGTCTGTGATTTATTTAGAATTCAAGGCACACTTAACCAGCATGGCTACCACAGCATTCTGCAGCGATACGCCATCCCATCTGGTTTGGGCTTAGTGGGACTATCATTTGTTTTTCAACAGGACAATGACCCAACACACCTCCAGGCTGTGTAAGGGCTATTTGACCAAGAAGGAGCGTGATGGAGTGCTGCATCAGATGACCTGGCCTCCACAATACCCCGACCTCAACCCAATTGAGATAGTTTGGGATGAGTAGGACGCCAGAGTGAAGGAAAAGCAGCCAACAAGTGCTCAGCATATGTGGGAACTCCTTCAAGACTGTTGGAAAAGTATTCCAGGTGAAGCTGGTTGAGAGAATGCCAAGAATATGCAAAGCTGTCATCAAGGCAAAGGGTGGCTATTTTAATATATTTGTATTTGTTTAACACTTTTTTGGTTACTGCATGATTCCATATATGTTATTTCATAGTTTTGATGTCTTCATTATTATTTTACAATGTAGAAAATAGTAAAAAATAAAGAAAAACCCTTGAATGAGTAGGTGTATCCAACCTTTATACTGGTACTGTATGTTCCCCAGACCTGAACATTTTAGTTTGATAAATTTGACTGGATAATGGATAAACATCATAGATACACTACATGACCAAAAGTATGTGGACACCTGCTCGTCGAACATCTCATTCCAAAATCATGGGCATTAATATGGAGTTGATCACCCCTTTTCTGCTATAGCAGCCTCCACTCTTCTGGGAAGGCTTTCCACTAGATGTTGGAACATTGCTGTGGGGACTTGCTTCCATTCAGCCACGAGCATTAGTGAGTTCGGGCACTGATGTTGGGCGATTAGGCCTGGCTCGCAGTCAGCGTTCCAATTAATCCCAAAGGTGTTCGATGGAGTTGAGGTCAGAGCTCTGTGCAGGCCAGTCAAGTTCTTCCACACCGATCTTGACAAACCATTTCTGTATGGACCTCGCTTGGTGCACGGGGGCATTGTCATGCTGAAACAGAAAAGGGCCTTCCCCAAACTGTAGCCACAACGTTGTAAGCACAGAATCGTCTAAAATGTAATTGTGTGGTGTAGCGTTAAGATTTCCCTTCACTGGAACTAAGGGGCATAGCCCAAATCATGAAAAACATCCCCAGACCATTATTCCTCCTCCACCAAACTTTACAGTTGGCACTATGCATTCTGGCAGGTAGTGTTCTCCTGGCATCCGTCGAACCCAGATTCGTCCATCGGACTGCCAGATGGTGAAGCGTTATTCATCACTCCAGAGAACGCGTTTCCACTGCTCCAGAGTCCAATGGCGGCGAGCTTTACACCACTCAAGCCGACGCTTGGCATTACGCATGGTGATATTAGGCTTGTGTGCGGCTGCTCGGCCATGGAAACCTTATTGTGCTGACGTTACTTCCAGAGGCAATTTGGAATTTGATGAACTGACTGGTTGGAAAGGTGGCATCCTATGACGGTGCCACGCTGAAAATCACTGAGCTCTTCAGTACGGGCCATTCTACTGCCAATGTTTGTCTATGGAGATTTCATGGCTGTGTGCTCGATTTTATACACCTGTCAGCAACGGGTGTGGCTGAAATAGCCGAATCCACTCATTTGGAGGGGCGTCCACATACTTTTGTATATATAGTGTAAGTTATTCAGTCATAACTGGAGCGTTTGAAATATGAATGTATTGGGACAATTTACAAAATCTAACCTGTCTAACCTGGTAGCCTATCAGAAGATTAGAAGCATGGCTTTCAGATGGTTCTTTTTGGACACCCGTGAGAGTAAATGTCATGCCTGTTCATGTGTTCTGTTGTATTGCCATTAAGGTTAAGCTTGTACATGATTTATTTAAATTATTATATTTTTTAACTTTTTGTTTTACCTACCTGTAATAAAATAACCTTTTACATACACTGAGTGTACAAAACATGAAGGACGCCTGCTCTTTTCATGACATAGGCTGACCTGGTGAATCCAGGTGAAAGCTATGATCCCTTATTGATGGCACTTGTTAAATCCACTTCAATCAGTGTAGATTAAGGGGAGGAGCCGGGTTAAAGAAGGATGTTTTTATTATTTTGACAATTGATACATGGATTGTGTATGTGTGCCTTTCAGAGGGTCAATGGGCATGACAAAATATTTAAGTGCATTTGAACGGGGTATGGTAGTAGGTGCGAGGTGCACCGGTTTGTGTCAAGAACTGCAACGCTGCTGGGTTTTTCACACTCAACAGTTTCCTGTGTGTATCAAGAATGGTCCACCACCCACATCCAGCCAACTTGACACAACTGTGGGAAGCATTGGAGTCAACATGGGCCAGAATCCCTGTGGAACGCTTTCGACACCTTGTAGAGTCCATGCCCCGACGAATTGAGGCTGTTCTGAGGGCAAAAGGGGGGTTGCAACTCAATGTTAGGAAGGTGTTCTTACTGTTTTGTGCAGTCAGTGTATGTGCATATGATACTAAAGAGCTAAATCACATTCTATTGTCCAGATAGTCACCATTTCGTCACAAATGCTTGGATGCATTGCTATGCCACTTCTGACACCAGTGTAATGGAATGGTGACCATCTGAACAATGAAATGCTATTTGTCTCTTTAGTATCACATGCACTTATGTAAGCCTTTATCAAGGCTTCAACACTGCCAGTGTACAAGCTTAATCTTTAATGACAATGCAACAGAACAGATGAACATGCATGACATTTACTCTCACAGGTAGCCAAAAACAACTATCTGAAAGCCACACCTCCAATCTTCTGATAGGCTGCCGCCTCTCAAATATTATGAATGTTACTCTTACACAGAGGAGCTAGCTAGCTAAAAGCTAGGCTAGGTTGAAGATTCTGTAGTTAACGAGCGACCTAAGCCAACACCTAATAATTGTCATCATAATATTATAATCATTACCATCACAATAAACTTTTCGGAGGGAGGCTACAGTCATATAATATAATTGGATTGACGGCAGCCAATGTTGTATTATTCAATAGTACTCATATAGGAATGGGTAATTGTTTACAAGTTGCTAGCTATCCCATAAAGCCATCGCAGAGAACCACATATTTTCATCTTTTCAGTCTGGCAGTGCAACAAATTCAACAGCGAAATACATTTAAATTGCTCCGTATGCACCAGCAAAAAGGTTCCTCCAGGAACCCTTTGCTACATTGGAACATTAAAGGTAAATCATAGAACCCCCCCAACTAATCAAATGTGCAAATATGAACCCATTGACTGCACTGGTTCCTTGAGGATCTGCAGGGTTCCTCGAGTCACCCCTAATCATTCTAAGAGTGTACTTGTTCGAATTTTAAAGCTAACTCTGGTGAAAGTTCGAATTGGTAGGACTCATCCTTTCACTTAATCCATATTTGTATAAACCCACCAGCTATCAAGGGAGTAAATTACCACACAATCTGATGGAAGAGTGTCGTAGAAACATTTGACTAAGAAATAATCAACTCAAACAAAATATCTCTATAGACACGGAAGCCTGTGAATTCAAGAATTTAGACTCTTTATTGCATAACAAAAAGCCTGAGTTTTTTCTCCATGGATAAACTGTCTCTCTCTGACTTAGAGATCTCTTTTATACACACAAATAAACAAACATGCGCACATTCCTAACTTATTTTAGTTCTGCACCGTCCTTCTTTTTCAACATCCAGCTGTCACATAATGTCCACTCCAAAAGGTCATGAATGCTTTTTCTATATGAAGCCTTTTCATTCTATCATTCTATTGGCTGCGTAGCGCAGGCCCCCTTCTTAAAACAGAACTAATGCAATGCACACTGTTGAAAGCCTCTGTGAAAGAACACATGCATTCATTTAAAACATAGCATACACTTAATGTCTACATTTCTTATTTAAACATATTTCTTAATTATACAATATCAAACATGTTTATTACATTTTACCTTTGGCATCTCCCTACATGTCATAATGATACATAAAATAATCCTACATATCCCCCCTATGGGACATTCCAATATTGTCCCAAATAATACAAAGATTAATTACCAAATATATGTAAGCATATGCAGTTACTTATTCTTAGCCTTGCCACATTTGGTTTCACTTCACACACATATTCAACCCAATATATCTTCCTCATTACTTGACCCATCCTGATGAGGACCCAGAGCCCAGTCAGGTATAGGATACAAGTCAGGAAGGTTCTCCTCTAAATTAACCTCCACATTTTCCTGTTGGGCTTTGTAACCATGACAGGCCCATCCACCCCCAGGAACAACTCCATACAGACATTCAGGATTCCCAAATGGACAGTCCATTGGTCCTCCTTTAACATTACAAGATTTCCCATATTCATTAACATACTGTCCTGGAACTCCCTGAACTGGGTGTATTTCTTTGGCTGAAATAGTAACATTTGTCTGTACAGTCATTTGTTTTACTGTGGTTTGAATCAAAAGTGATTTGATCAGAGGTAGTATACAACAAAACACTACTCCCATTACTACAAGTGATATTCCTATCATTATTCCCATCTTTGTAAACATTGCACCCCATTTTCTCAAAGTTAATTCCATCCAGTCCCAAACATGAACATCATACCCAGCATTATCCTTAACCTCTTTTCGTAGTCCCTTGAGTTTAGTCATTGCTTCCGTGAAAGAACCATCCGGGGCAGTATTATTGGGGATAAAAGTACAACATTCATCTCCAAACATAACACAAACTCCACCTTGGCACATATCGATACTGGCCGAATGTACATTTATATTATAATAATTCTAGCATTAACTTCCTCATACCAAGAATTACATCAGATCAGTACCCTAATGCATTGTCCCAATTACTATAAATTTAGTAGTGTATAATACCTCCTTAATCAACAAACACTCCCTTCCTCTACCGGCACTCAATCTCCTGGCGTCTTCATTATGTCCTTCATAGTTCTTCATAGTTCATATTCCAATGTCACACCTGAACCACCACACCTCCACCATCATCCTGTTTTGTCCCTGTGCAAACCAGTATACCCAAACTAGGAAGAATGTTGCATTTGCATAGACATCTTTCCTCACATTCTTGAAAGAAAAAGCACAAAAGAGAAAGCATTTGATTGCTTTGATTTGATGTTGGATTCAGGTCAGAGGTGGGTCAGACAGGAACATCTTCAACGCCTTTGTTGTTCCTCTTCAGCCGAGTAGAGGATTTTTGGTTTTTATTGAGGTTTACACCGTTCTGAGCCAATTGATCTCTGCAATGCATTACGACACCATCCGTTGTAACCTCAGGAAAGGACAGATCATAACAGTTCAGTTGAGTTAATTTCCAATCCAAAACATCCCTATTAACATTGTCTACATGACAAATCATTATGTTTCACATTCTCCCTTGAATTCTTCCAAATTATATAACCCAATTGTTTTATTGTAACATTCCTATATTTTTGCTCATAACAATTGCTTACACTTCTCTCTTCTAATAACACTTTCCCCTGGAAATCTAACACCAAATACTACATCAAATTGTTTATCTAAGTATTGGACTGTTTTCCTTATGTCTATGATTCACCTGTCTCTTTCTTTCATTACCCTAAGGTCACACTACCCCATGTGACTTCCCCATACTCTTTGTGCTGGTTTCTCACACACCAATACTATTTAACCCTTGTATTTTAATAGTGATCCCTTCCTGTATTTTTAGTTATGGTTCCTGCCTGTGCAAGAATCTACATTCTACTCCTGCCTATATCCCTTCTATGTCTTGTTCTTCTGCTCTTTATTTTATTATCAGTACTCCATTCCCCTTATTCTCAGGTAACTAGTCTAGTACATATTAATCAATGATAAGGATATCTGGTGCGTCTTGGAGGTCTGGGATCTCTCAATCATCAGTTCCCTCACTCTGGTACAATGGTTAAGATGATACCCAATACTCCCCTCTATCAGTACCATCGTTGGTATAACCTGGACAACGATATGTAGGTCACTTCTGTTGTTAACCTTCCCCCGTCACTAGGGTCTCCGGATCAGCCAAAGTCCCTCTCAATCTATAGACATCGGTCTGTGAAAAGTGTCCTTCTTTCAGCCTTTCCATAGGGAAGCTCAGAGTTACTGCTGCAAAGACACAAGCACAGACACACACAAAAGACAACAATGCTACCCAATGGCTGAGGTTGGAACACTCCTATAGTGGGGAACATGGATCTTAGTATCTGTCTCCACCACTTTTACCATCATTAAGGTAGCCTACAACCCTGGTGCAGGCCCCTCCACATAGGGTCTTTCCAGCTCTTTCTTCTGTAGTCTTTTGCCATCACATAGTCTCCAGGGCACAGAAAATACTCAGATTATCCTACTCAGTTGGGCAGAGTTATCTTCACTCATGAAAATAAAATCTTAAGAACATTGTTATGTTAGGTGAGACACAGTATGCTACTCCTGTCCTCTCATCCGTCAAGAGAAGCCTTGAGATTATGAAGCACACCTGCTTCCAGCTTGTTGTCATCCACTTATTTCATAGACAGACCACCTCTACACCATGCCTCCTATTACAAAAACAAAAATGATTTAACCTAACCCATAACACATTATTACTACTGCTCACATCCTTAATACTCCTTGCATACTTCCCCCCTTGGACACATACATCACATCGTGATTCATGTGTACAAAAAACAAAACAAAACAATGTTGCCTATCAAACCTAACATAATAACTAACCTTAAAATGACAACCCTTGAGCATATCTTTACTTAACTGTATTCTATAACACTATTCAAGGAATACTTCTCCTTCAGGACTAACTCTCTCACTTCATCCTTGTCCTGTTTAGACTAATTTATATATAGGATTTTTCCAATTTGTAAACTTCTTCACAATTATCCTTATTTTATCTAACCCCCTAATTCAGCATGCCTCTAGAATTCATAGTGCGGGTGATCAGGTCACACTATGAAGCCAGGACAGATTTCAGAGGTCATTGAAATCATTCAATGAATTGTTTCATCCTATAGTCTACTACTTCTAACAACCATCAAAACCTTTCATAGATGTTGTAATTCCTTAGTACAGCTCTTTTCAAAATAAATCATACATATTTACTTATCCCTCAGTAAATAACCCAAATTACATGTGTATGCCCCTTTAAGATATTTCACTTCCATCCTGTCAAAAAAACCAAATAGAAATAAAAATCCTATACAACTAACTTTTCATACTAAGTAGTTTGTTTGTGGTTATTTGAACACCATACAGTAAAACAATAAACAAACAAAAATGGCCAGGCCTTATTTATTTTTGTAGCTCCCTATGACAACCTAAAAATAAAACTACTTAATTTTACTATCTAGTTCCACCCTAGCCTACAGACTTTTTAAACCTCCCACTAAAGAAATCCCCATGTTCCTGGAAGAGAAAGTATACATGTCGTTAACATATAATCAACAATCCAAAGATAGTAATTACACACAAAACATCATACATATCCCCAGTCCTATCTCATCAACAATCATTAACCCCAGCATCCATTTAAAATTGTTTGATACGTCGCCCTACTTTACCCCTAACCTAATAATATAGGAGACTCCCATCAATCCTTAAAAGACAACTCCCACTTAGAAGACACTAGATAATAACCCATTTTATTAAGTTAACTACACCTTCCACTATTGTGGGCGGCAGGTAGCTTAGTGGTTAAGAGCGTTGTGCCAGCAACCGAAAGGTCACTGGTTCTAATCCCCGAGCCGACTAGGTGAAAAAATCTGTCGATGTGCCCTTGAGCAAGGCACTTAACCCTAATTGCTCCTGTAAGTCGCTCTGGATAAGAGCGTCTGCTAAATGACCAATTATTTATTTATTTTTATTGTCATTTGTTTAATCTAACAAAACCTTATTCAATGACTACCACGTACTCTCCTCTCCATACCCATTATCATTTTAGCAGATGCTCTTTTTCCAAACAACACTCCATTCATGAGCTCATACCTTTCTATACTTATACTAGCCCCCCTTGGGAATCGAACACCCAACCCTGGCGTTGCAAGCACCGTGCTCTACCAACTGAGCTACAGCGGACCACAGATGAGCATATAGTGCCTTTTTCTGATAATGTTATAATTGTAGCCTATTGCATTACTTTAGTTTAAAATATAAGTTTGTTTATTCAACAAATCCAGAACCCACTATAAATTGATGCTATTCCCTCAGCAAAAAAGCCAAAGCTCCTTGCATCCCCTAGTTCACGTAATGAAAATACATTATCATTCTAAAATTCACCAAATATTCGCATACATTACTGATGTCACGCAAACCATAGAATAAAGTAATAACAATTAGAATTTTGTCAAATAAATGTTTTCCATCCAGCTATTCAAACTTTCTTTAAATAACTATTTCAGCTCGATACAGTCAAACAAGTATGACTCTCTTTTAACCGGAAACTAATTCATGGCATTAGTAAAGTCTATTCACATCCCAACAATAACTAATAATATATGTATATTCATATATTAAACTACCTTACTTTCATTCCAGTCTACCTAAACAATTCAAATTATGGCCAAATCTCTTATCCAAATTGCCAGTCCGCTATTCAAATGTAACTGTCCTTTCTGATTTAGACTATAGACACTCCTCCTTTCCCGTTGAATAAGTGAGTCCTTCAGTCTGAAAAGACGCAGGCTACTAGATCTTCCAATCTTATCCTGACTGTTCCTTCAATCTAAACACCCCACAACTATAGCTAAACTATACTTAGAAACCCTAGACTCTGTTCAGCGATGCAGAATCTATGCTTTATCGAAATGACAAGTTAATCCTCTGTTATTCCAATGATAATGGTCAGTAATTTTAGTATCTAACACATACCACACTTTATCAGAAAATAGCTTTGAAGGACACAGATCTCACACGCTCAACGTACTCAACTTAGCAGTCAACAAGTCAAACCCCACATTCATTGATTTGGAAACAGATCTAACAACCTAACCAAATGAATTATATATATGCTTCTGAAATAATAGATAGTTTATTATATTGCTTAATTCTACCACATGTCCTATGTACTCTCTCCCATTTCCACGTCTGTCTACGTGTTTGAGCAAGTCAACACCTATAATTTTATCCAATCCCTCGTATTTACCATACCCACATAAAATTCATTATACTCCAATTTATTCATATCTACCAAACCCTTCATGTTTCTAATTATTCTTTATTGCCACAATCTGTTAATCACCATCTAGTCTCAGCAGAACAAACAACAAATTACTCAAATCCTTTCCCTTAGTCATAGAATCCTCCTAGAATCATATAGGCTGGTCACTATTCCCCGATCTTACAAAATTCTATGACAGGCATTGTTGTACGAAACTCCAAGATATCATATACAAGAAAAGCTTATTATTTCAATGTATATATAATTATCAAACACACCTCTATATCTCATCATTCAAACTTCAGAGTGTGACTAATTTACATCATTATACCACTCTTATTCCATATTTATGTTGTTCTTAAACGCCCTTAATTACTTTGTATAACCTACAGGAATATTTTATTCTATCAAAAGGCCCAAATTTGAAGTGTTAACCCTATTCTAGTTATTATTTTACGTAGTCAATTTATCATAATACTGCATTACCTCTAAAGTTTCTAAATATAATGTCAGACACATACCCTAACAGATTTATCAAATTACAATACATAGACGTCGTATGACCACACCAATAAATGTGACCTGTTCCTCCAACAGGATTTATTCTACCCCTCCTGGTAACGTGAATTTTCTACACTCAGTTGGTCAATGAATATCCTCGCACCATTTATTCTTCTCTTTCCTAATGTGAGATTGGGCACACCCTTTGTCCATCAGACAGAAGCTTCAAACAACCTCAAATAGATTTCCTTTCCTTACAGAAATACTATTTACTTGCAGGATTTCATATTATTCTCACTCACACAGATGAGTAGCCACTTGTGCCCAAATGAATCAGACAGTTGAATGACTCACAGCCACCAAGGTAAACCACTCATGAGCAGATGAGCAGACCTAGTCTTGGTTTACACTTTATCAAAAAGTTTGAGCCCCTGTGATTATTTAACCCGTTCACCTACTCAGGATGACCCAACTTTTTTACCTGTCCCACCCTACCTAATTTTGGCATCACCACACACAGGATGATGACCTGCCCGTTCAGTCCTCTGGAATTTTAGCTTTCCAAAGCGTTTATCCACAGGATTTATATTTATTAGCCCCCTAGGTCTCAAGCTTTCTCAAGACCTAAGTTTGGCATCACCACACACAGGATGATGACCTGCCCGTTCAGTCCTCTGGAATTTTAGCTTTCCAAAGCGTCTATTCACAGGATTTATATTTATTAGCCCCCTAGGTCTCAAGCTTTCTCAAGACCTAAGTTTGGCATCACCACACACAGGATGATGACCTGCCCGTTCAGTCCTCTGGAATTTTAGCTTTCCAAAGCGTCTATTCACAGGATTTATATTTATTAGCCCCCTAGGTCTCAAGCTTTCTCAAGACCTAAGTTTGGCATCACCACACACAGGATGATGACCTGCCCGTTCAGTCCTCTGGAATTTTAGCTTTCCAAAGCGTTTATCCACAGGATTTATATTTATTAGCCCCCTAGGTCTCAAGCTTTCTCAAGACCTAAGTTTGGCATCACCACACACAGGATGATGACCTGCCCGTTCAGTCCTCTGGAATTTTAGCTTTCCAAAGCGTTTATCCACAGGATTTATATTTATTAGCCCCCTAGGTCTCAAGCTTTCTCAAGACCTAAGTTTGGCATCACCACACACAGGATGATGACCTGCCCGTTCAGTCCTCTGGAATTTTAGCTTTCCAAAGCGTCTATTCACAGGATTTATATTTATTAGCCCCCTAGGTCTCAAGCTTTCTCAAGACCTAAGTTTGGCATCACCACACACAGGATGATGACCTGCCCGTTCAGTCCTCTGGAATTTTAGCTTTCCAAAGCGTTTATCCACAGGATTTATATTTATTAGCCCCCTAGGTCTCAAGCTTTCTCAAGACCTAAGTTTGGCATCACCACACACAGGATGATGACCTGCCCGTTCAGTCCTCTGGAATTTTAGCTTTCCAAAGCATTTATCCACAGGATTTATTGGCATCACCACACACAGGATGATGACCTGCCCGTTCAGACCTCTGGAATTTTAGCTTTCCAAAGCGTTTATCCGCAGGATTTATTAGCATCACCACACACAGGATGATGACCTGCCCGTTCAGACCTCTGGAATTTTAGCTTTCCAAAGCGTTTATCCGCAGGATTTATGCCTTCCTAAGCAGCCTATAAACGATATACTTTCGCTACACGTTCATAGCGGTATTCGAAGGACTTAACATGTTATTCCTGATCACTCAACCAGCTGGACAGCCGCCCGTGTCGAAATGACCCGGACAGAGCAATCAGCAAGATGAATCAGCTGAATCAACTGAATCAAATGAATCAAATCAATTGAACAGACGGTTCTGACAAACAACAGCGACATGTATTCTTAAATTCAAAAGCTCCTAGTGTCTAACTTTCTGGTTCTTAAATTTGGAGAGACCTACTTGGTATTTCTTTAGATGTTGCCGAGCCCCGGATCGGACCACACAAACGTTTATACTATATTAGTAAGAACTTGGCTTACCTTTTAAAAGCGGCCGCTTTTGTTTGTATGGTCCGTCCAAGCCGTTTCACAACCGCAGATGTACACCGTCTCTGATCCCTATCAGGTCCCATCTGGGGTGCCAAATATGTCGTAGAAACATTTGACTAAGAAATAATCAACTCAAACAAAATATCTCTATAGACACGGAAGCCTGTGAATTCAAGAATTTAGACTCTTTATTGCATAACAAAAAGCCTGAGTTTTTTCTCCATGGATAAACTGTCTCTCTCTGACTTAGAGATCTCTTTTATACACACAAATAAACAAACATGCGCACATTCCTAACTTATTTTAGTTCTGCACCGTCCTTCTTTTTCAACATCCAGCTGTCACATAATGTCCACTCCAAAAGGTCATGAATGCTTTTTCTATATGAAGCCTTTTCATTCTATCATTCTATTGGCTGCGTAGCGCAGGCCCCCTTCTTAAAACAGAACTAATGCAATGCACACTGTTGAAAGCCTCTGTGAAAGAACACATGCATTCATTTAAAACATAGCATACACTTAATGTCTACATTTCTTATTTAAACATATTTCTTAATTATACAATATCAAACATGTTTATTACATTTTACCTTTGGCATCTCCCTACATGTCATAATGATACATAAAATAATCCTACAAGAGCTCTAAAAGAATCCCATTTGGAATTCATACTCTGAATACCTGTAACAAGGTGAGTAGGACGGAGCCAGGCGCAGGAGGTGTGAATCAAATAATAGGGTTTATTAGCCAATACAGCAGTCTGCAGCAATGCGTAAACCAAATACAGTGCGACTTAAATGTGTACTGGGAAAACAAAACACACAGGTGAATATCCCGGCGATAAAGTAACATAATGCTCAACACGAGCTAGCGACACCTCCACATGGAACAATAACACACAAAGAAATGGGGGAGCAGAGGGAATAATTATTCAGAGACTGATAAGGGGATATGTACCAGGTGTGTGTGAAAAATAAGACAAAACAAATGGAATGATGAAAAGAGGAGTGGCAGTGGCTGGAAGGCCGGAGACAAAGAACGCCTAAGCCTGCCCGAACAAGGAGATGAGGCAGCTTCGGAGGGAGTCGTGACATTAGCCCCCCCTTGACGCGTAGCTCCAGCAGCGCGCCGACACCGGCCCTGGGGATGGCCAGGGGGATGCGGAGCAGGGCGATCCGGATGGCGACGGTGGAAGTACCGCAACAGGGAGGGATCGAGGACATCCTCCACCGGGACCCAGCACCGCTCCTCCGGACCGTACCCCTCCCACTCCACGAGGTACTGAAGGCCCCCCGCCCGACGCCTCGAATCCAGGATGGAACGGACGGAGTACGCCGGGGCGGAGGGACCTCCCGCACCTCAGACTCCTGGAGCGGACCAGCCACCACTGGCCTGAGGAGAGATACGTAAAACTAAGGGTTAATACGGTAATCAGGCGGGAGCAGCAACCTATACGTAACCTTGTTCACTCTCCTCAGGACTTTGAGCGGCCCCACAAACCGCGGGCCCAGCTTCCGGCAGGGCAGGTGGAGGGGCAGGTTCCAGGTCGAGAGCCAGACCCGATCACCCGGTACAAAGACCGGGCCTCACTGCGGTGTCGGTCAGCGTTGGACTTCTGGCGACGCACGGCGCGCTGGAGGTGGGCGTGGGCGGTGTTCCACGTCTCCTCCGCGCGCCGAAACCAGTCGTCCACTGCAGGAGCCTCGGTCTGACTCTGATGCCACGGTGCCAGGACCGGATGATACCCTAAAACACATTGAAATAGTGACATGTTAGTGGAGGAGTGGCGGAGAGATTTCTGGGCATATTCGACCCATGGCAAGAACACCAACCACTCCCCCGGCCGGTCCTGGCAGTAGGACCGCAGAAACCTACCCACATCCTGATTCACCCGTTCCACCTGCCCATTAGATTCGGGGTGGAAACCCAGAGGTCAGGCTGACCGAGACCCCCAGACGTTCCATGAACGCTTTCCAGACCCTAGACGTAAACTGGGGACCCCGGTCAGACACTATGTCCTCTGGCACCCCGTAGTGCCGGAAGACGTGAGTAAAAAGGGCTTCCGCAGTTTGCAGGGCTGTGGGGAGACCGGGCAGAGGAAGGAGGCGGCAAGCTTTAGAAAAACGGTCCGGTGTTAAAAAAGTGGGACCATGGCCGTTGTGGAACTGGTAAGGGCTGTAACTTACCCGCTGGAAGGTGCCTATGTGCTTTACTCTGTGCGCACACCGAGCAGATTGAGACATACACCTTCAAGTCCTTAGCCAAGGTAGGCCACTAGTACTTCCTGGTAAGGCAGCGCACTATACGGCCAATTGCCTGGGTGACCATAGGAGGGGGACGTGTGTGCCCAATAGATAAGACGACCACGGACACTAGACGGCACGTACCGAAGCCCAGCTGGGCACTGAGGTGGAGATGGCTCTGTGCGTAACACCCGCTCTATGTCTGCGTCCACCGCCCACACCACCGGCGTCACAATGCAGGAGGCCGGGAGCATGGGGGTGTTATCAATGGGCCTCTCCTATGTGTCGTACAGCTGTGACAGTGCGTCTGCCTTCACGTTCTTAGTGCCTGGTATATAGGACAGCGTGAAATCAAACCGGGTGAAGAACAAGGCCCACCTGGCCTGGCGAGGGTTCAGCCTCCTCGCTGCCCGGATGTACTCCAGGTTACGGTGGTCATTCCAGACAAGGAAAAGGTGTTAAGCCCATTCGAGCCTGTGCCTCCACACTGTCAGGGCTCTGACAACAGCCAACAGCTCCCGATCACCAACGTCATAGTTCTGCTCCGCCGGGCTGAGCTTCTTAGAGAAGAAGGTACAGGGGTGGAGCTTGGGTGGCGTGCCCGAGCGTTGGGATAGGACAGCGCCTACCCCTACCTCGGACGCATCCACCTCCACTGCGAACGGCAATGAGGGATCGGGATGGACCAGTACCGGAGCTGAGGTGAACAGAGCCCTCAGGGTACTGAAAGCCCTGTCAGCCTCAGCAGACCAGCTGAGCCAGGACGGCTCACCCTTCAATATAGAGGTGATGAGGGCTGCGACCTTGCCAAAGCCCCGGATAAACCTCAGATAGTAATTGGCAAAGCCAAATGAAGCGCTGCACCTCCTTAACCGTGGTTGGAGTTGGCCAATTACCCACAGCTGAAATGCGGTCTCCCTCCATCTCCACACCTGAGGTGGTGATGTGGTATCCGAGGAAGGAGACGGATTGTTGGAAAAACAGACATTTTTCTGCCTTGGCATACATGTCATTCACCAACAGTCTCCCAAGCACTCTGCGAACCAGGGACACATGCTCGGTGCGCATAGCGGAATACACCAGGATGTCATCGATGTAGACCACCACACCGTGACCAAATATGTCCCGAAACACCTCGTTCACAAAAGACTGGAAGACTGATGGAGCATTCATCAACCCTTACGGCATCACCAGGTATTCATAATGCCCCGTGGTGGTGCTAAATGCTGTCTTCCATTCGTCCCCTTCCCGGACACGCACCAGGTTGTACGCACTCCTGAGATCTAATTTCGTGAAGAAGTGTGCCCCATGCATTGATTCGATCACAGAGGAAATGAGGGGTAGAGGATAACTATAATACAAAATGTATTTTATTAAGTGCACGGTAATCAATGCAAGGGCACAGAACCCCGTCTTTCTTCTTCACGAAAAATAAACTTGAGGAGGCAGGTGAAGTGGAGGGACGTATGAACCCCTGACGCATGGACTCGGAGACGTATGTTTCCATAGCCTCTGTTTCAGCCTGTGACAAGGGATATACATGACTCCTGGGCGGAACAGCGTCATAACCGGAGGTTTATCGCGCAATCCTCCGAAGCGATCGGGTGGTAATTTGGTCGCCTGCAATTTGGAAAAGGCGTGCGCCAAATCGAAGTATTCGGGGGGAATGCGCGCGGTGGAGGCATTGTCTGGACTTTCCACTGTGGTCGCACCAACGGAAACAGCTAGACACCTACCCTGACACTCTCGCGACCACCACGTGAGAGCCCTCTGCAGCCATGAAAAGGTGGGGTCGTGTAGTGCTAGCCAGGGAAGGCCCAACACAACAGGGAAATCAAGGGACTAAATAATATGAAACGTGATTTGCTCATCATGGGTCTCCTGCATAATCATAGTGACTGGTGCTGTAACCTCCCTAACAAAAACTGACCCTAATGGTTGATTGGCAAGTGCTTTGACAGGCAATGAAATAGACAGGGGAACCAATGTAATACGTAGACTAAGAGCTAAAGACCTGTCCATAAAGTTCCCAGCTGCGCCTGAATCTACCAGTGCCTTACACTGGGGGACTACCGTGTAATCAGGGAAGTTGACGTGGATGGTTAAATGCGCAGCAGAGGGCTCTGAACGAGTGTGGGTTTGTGCTACCTGGGGTGACGTGAGAGTGCCCTGCTTACCGCCTCCAGAACCAGAAGGACTCTGACGACATCATGCAGCAGAATGTCTTCTTCTGCCACAAGAGTGACACTGGATCTGTCGTTCTCCCGGAACGCTGCACCACCCAGCTCCATCGGAACGTGAGCCGGGGTGAAACGGCCAGGCCCCTTCCAGGACGTCCTCTCGAAGCCAGCAGGTTGCCCTACCGGATGGCCATGTCCACCAGTTGGTCGAAGGTCAGAGGGGTATCCCGGCAGGCTAGCTCCCTTCGGACATCCTCACGCAGGCTGCATCGTAAATGGTCGATGAGGGACCGCTCGTTCCACCCGGACCCAGCCGCTAGGGTTCTAAACTCCAGGGCAAAGTCTTGCGTGGTCCTCGTCCCCTGCCTCAGATGGAACAGACGCTACTCTCCGTAGCTGTCAAACGTGTCTCCTCCTTCAGTCCAGACCGCGTTGGCCCACTCCAGGGCTTTCCCTGAGAGGCAGGAGACGAGGGCGGACACCTTCTCCCAATCTGATGGAGCAGGGCTGATTGTGTTGAAGTAGACGTCCAGCTGCAGGAGGAAACCCTGGCAGCGGGCAGCTGTCCTGTCGTATTCCCTCTGTAGGTGAATACCCCTGGTTGCTGGTGTGTGGGTGGCTGGATCCGGTCGCTCAGCTGGTTCCGCAGGGTCGGATCCTCTCTTCTCCAGGCGCTGGATGGACTGGAGAACCCGATCCATTGCTTCGCCCAAGCTTGCTAACCTGGTGGAATGCTCCCAGACCCGCTCAATGACTCCAGGCATATTCCCCGCTCCTGCTGACTCCATGCTGTTTGGGTGTGTTATTCTGTAACAAGGTGAGTAGGACGGAGCTAGGCGCAGGAGGTGTGAATGATAGAATAGGGTTTATACATAGAATAGAATAGGGCCAATACATCAGTCCACAGCAATGTGTAAACCAAATACAGTGCGACTTAAATGGGTACTGGGAAAACAAAACACACGGGTGAATATCCCGGCGATAAAAGTAATATAATGCTCAACACGAGCTAGCAACACCTCCACATGGAACTATAACACACAAAGACATGGGGGAGCAGAGGGAATAATTATACAGAGACTGATGAGGGGATATGTACCAGGTGTGTGTGAAAAACAAGACAAAACAAATGGAATGATGAAAAGAGGAGCGGCAGTGGCTAGAAGGCCGGTGACGACGAACGCCGAAGCCTGCCCGAACAAGGAGATGAGGCAGCTTCGGAGGGAGTTGTGACAATACCTGATGCTTAGACTTGTTTAAACCCCTAAAACAACTGCTGGTTTACATGCTAGGCCCACCATGAGTTATTCAATATATCATAAGTTATTCAATATATCATAAGTTATTCAATATATAAGTTATTCATCAAGTTGTGTACAATAAATGCTCAGCTACACTAGATATGATTACCCTCAGCCTGGCATTCTCTGACAGTTAACCTTTGCACTAACATTTGAGAACCAGGAGCACCCCTCCCCCATCCCCTGTACAACACATTCGGGGCATGTCTGTCATTGGTAGAATAGCTAGTCCCTGCTCTCAAGATGCATCCCCATCAATCTGTCTGAATCAGGTTAGGGCGATATCCCTCCTCCTGTGTGCTGACAGAAGGCATCAGCAGAAAATAGCAGCTCGCCTGTTTCTAATGGCTGTAATAAGCAGCACTGATCAGGAGGCTGCTGGAGAGGAACTAGCCTGGCTGGCCATGCTGCACAGTTCTTGGGCTGCGTCCGCAATGTCACCCTATTTATTTTATAGTGCAAGAATAGTAGTGCACTATAAAGGGTGCCATTTTGGAACACAGCCTTGGTCTGTTCATTCTGATGGTAAGTAGAAAGTAATCTCCTATTAGGGAGACAGGTAAATGGATATCTCTGCAACAGACTGTGTCAGATCCTGCAGCTCTGTGGCAGTACGCTTACAGGGTTTAAGCAGTATGCTTATAGGGTTTATGGGATAGTGGAAACACAATACTCGCCTCACGCCAGGAGGATCTCAGTGCGTCGTTACATCACTTATTTTTTTAACAATGCCATTGTTTTATTATACTCCATTGCAGGTGACTGTCTCTGCTTAGATGGCTACATGAAGGACCCTGTCCACAAGCATCTCTGTATTCGTAACGAGTGGGGTCCAAATCAAGGGTAAGTGACAATATGGCCTCTAATGGTCCTGCCTGCTAGATAATACACTGCTCAAAAAAATAAACAACACAATGTAACTCCAAGTCAATCACACTTCTGTGAAATCAAACTGTCCACTTAGGAAGCAACACTGATTGACAATACATTTCACATGCTGTTGTGCAAATGGAATAGACAACAGGTGGAAATTATAGGCAATTAGCAAGACACCCCCAATAAAGAAGTGGTTCTGCAGGTGGTGACCACAGACCACTTCTCAGTTCCTATGCGTCCTGGCTGATGTTTTGGTCACTTTTGAATGCTGGCGGTGCTTTCACTCTAGTGGTAGCATGAGACGCAGTCTACAACCCACACAAGTGGCTCAGGTAGTGCAGCTCATCCAGGATGGCACATCAATGCGAGCTGTGGCAAGAAGGTTTGCTGTGTCTGTCAGCATAGTGTCCAGAGCATGGAGGCGCTACCAGGAGACAGGCCAGTACATCAGGAGATGTGGAGGAGGCTGTAGGAGGGAAACAACCCAGCAGCAGGACCGCTACCTCCACCTTTGTGCAAGGAGGAGCAGGAGGAGCACTGCCAGAGCCCTGCAAAATGACCTCCAGCAGGCCACAAATGTGCATGTGTCTGCTCAAACGGTCAGAAACAGACTCCATGAGGGTGGTATGAGGGCCCGACGTCCACAGGTGGGGGTTGTGCTTACAGCCCAACACCGTGCAGGACGTTTGGCATTTGCCAGAGCACACCAAGATTGGCAAATTCGCCACTGGCGCCCTGTGGTCTTCACAGATGAAAGCAGGTTCACACTGAGCACATGTGACAGACGTGACAGTCTGGAGACGCCGTGGAGAACGTTCTGCTGCCTGCAACATCCTCCAACATGACCGGTTTAGCGGTGGGTCAGTCATGGTGTGGGGTGGCATTTCTTTGGGGGGCCGCACAGCCCTCCATGTGCTCGCCAGAGGTAGCCTGTCTGCCATTAGGTACCGAGATGAGATCCTCAGACCCCTTGTGAGACCATATGCTGGTGCGGTTGGCCCTGGGTTCCTCCTAATGCAAGACAATGCTAGACCTCATGTGGCTGGAGTGTGTCAGCAGTTCCTGCAAGAGGAAGGCATTGATGCTATGGACTGGCCCGCCCGTTCCCCAGACCTGAATCCAATTGAGCACATCTGGGACATCATGTCTCGCTCCATCCACCAACGCCACGTTGCACCACAGACTGTCCAGGAGTTGGCGGATGCTTTAGTCCAGGTCTGGGAGGAGATCCCTCAGGAGACCATCCGCCACCTCATCAGGAGCATGCCCAGGCGTTGTAGGGAGGTCATACAGGCACGTGGAGGCCACACACACTACTGAGCCTCATTTTGACTTGTTTTACGGACATTACATCAAAGTTGGATCAGCCTGTAGTGTGGTTTTCCACTTTAATTTTGAGGGTGACTCCAAATCCAGACCTCCATGGGTTGATAAATTTGATTTCCATTGATAATTTTTGTGTGATTTTGTTGTCAGCACATTCAACTATGTAAAGAAAAAAGTATTTAATAAGATTATTTCATTCATTCAGATCTAGGATATGTTGTTTAAGTGTTCCCTTTATTTTTTTGAGCAGTGTATATTAACATGCCGACTCCTAGTTAAATAGCTTTGTGTCAAACAGAGGAACTGTGAAAAATATAGCTGGGTCTAACATGAGATGTGGAGTACAAGCAGATGAAAGTTTTAAATCCTTCCCAGAATTCCAGAATGCTACCCACCTTTATTACCCATATATATCACTTGAAAATAATCTGCCTGCTGCTATAGGGCCATCGCAGTTCTGATATGTTAATATGTTTTTTTTCACTATACACTGCCGGTCAAGGTTTTAGAACACCTTCTCATTCAAGGGTTTTTCTTTATTTTTTACTATTTTCTACATTGTAGAATAATAGTGAAGACATCAAAACTATGAAATAACTCATATGGAATTATGTACTAACCACAAAAGTGTTAAACAAATCAAAATATATTTTATATTTGAGATTCTTCAAATAGCCACCCTTTGCCTTGATGACAGCTTTGCACACTCTTGGCATTCTCTCAACCAGCTTCATGAGGTAGTCACCTGGAATGCATTTCAATTAACAGGTGTGCCTTGTTAAAAGTTAATTTGTAGAATATATTTCCTTCTTAATGCGTTTGAGCCAATCAGCTGTGTTGTGACAAGGTAGGGGGGTATACAGAAGATAGGCTTATTTGGTAAAAGGCCAAGTCCATATTATGGCAAGAACAGCTCAAATAAGCAAAGAGAAATGACAGTCCATCATTACTTTAAGACATGAAGGTCAGTCAATACAGAACATTTCAAGAACTTTTAAAGTTTCTTCAAGTGCAGTCACAAAGACCATCAAGCGCTATGATGAAACTGTCTTTCACCGCCACAGGAATGGAAGACCCAGAGTTACCTCTGCTGCAGAGGATAAGTTCATTAGAGTTACCAGCCTCAGAAATTGCAGCCCAAATAAATTCTTCACAGAGTTCAATTACAGACACATCTCAACATCAACTGTTCAGAGGAGACTGTGTGAATCAGGCCTTCATGGTCGAATTGCTGCAAAGAAACCACTACTAAAGGACACCAATAAGAAGAAGAGACTTGCTTGGGCCAAGAAACACGAGCAATGGACATTAGACCGGTGGAAATTTGTCCTTTGGTCTAGAGTCCAAATTTGAGATTTTTGGTTCCAACCGCTGTGTCTTTGTGAGACGTGGTGTGGGTAAACGGATGATCTCTGCATGTGCATTTCCCACCGTAAAGCATGGAGGAGGAGGTGTTATGGTGTGGGTGCTTTGCTGGTGACACTGTCTGTGATTTATTTAGAATTCAAGGCACACTTAACCAGCATGGCTACCACAGCATTCTGCAGCAATACGCCATCCCATCTGGTTTGGGCTTAGTGGGACTATCATTTGTTTTTCAACAGAACAATGACCCAATACACCTCCAAGCTGTGTAAGGGCTATTTGACCAAGAAGGAGAGTGATGGAGTGCTGCATCAGATGACCTGGCCTCCACAATCCCCCGACCTCAACCCAATTGAGATGGTTTGGGATGAGTTGGACCGCAGAGTGAAGGAAAAGCAGCCAACAAGTGCTCAGCATATGTGGCAACTCCTTCAGGACTGTTGGAAAAGCATTCCAGGTGAAGCTGGTTGATAGAATGCCAAGGGTATGCAAAGCTGTCATCAAGGCAAATGGTGGCTATTTGAAGAATCTCAAATATAAAATATATTTAGATTTGTTTAACACTTTTTTGGTTACTATATGATTCCATATGTGTATTTTCATAGTTTTGATGACTTCACTATTATTCTACAATGTACATTTTTTTAAAAAAATAAAGAAAAACCCTTGAATGAGTAGGTGTTCTAAAACGTTTGACCGGTAGTGTACATCTGAATTTTGTCACACATTTCTCTTCTTCCCTATCTCCCTCCCTCCCCAAGTGATTTCTCTCTCACGTGCAGTCAATCTTTGACAGGGAAAGCCTACAGGGGTCATTTAAATGTTTAATGACTGGCCCCTCTGGCGTGAGGCCGTTATCAGGTTTTAGCTGCTCTTTTGCCTATAGTAACAGCTTACTCAGAGAGGCAGCAGCTCCTTGTCACATTTTCTCTCACACTGTAGCAGATTCAAGTCCCCAAGCTGCCTGTGTCTATTAATCTCCATCATTCTTCCCCTCTCCTCTCCCAGCTTGGGAAAATAGACACGAGCCTAAGTCACATTCCATCTCAGGCGACTGAGGAACACATTTTTCTGTCAGTGTGTTTACCCACAGCATCTGTCATAGCGCTACTTTTGATCTGCCACATTTTTTGGGATTGGTTGAAATGTTGTCGGGAGATGCAGTGCTGAAAAGATTCCAAACGTATTTACTATTTGAGCAGAATAGATAATAAATATTTTTGGGAAAACTGAAGAAAAACAAAAACTTTACTTGTGTGTTGCAGTGTAACGTGTTGTGATTACTCATTGTTACACTGTACTTAAAGTAGTAAAACATGCTTCTTTCTTTAATCAGTCATTTCATTCTTGTCTCGGAAACCAGCTTACTGGTTTTGACTGAATATAAGTCTAACTCTCTCCGCTCTTATTTGTCACCAGACCCTGGCCTTACACTATTTTCCAGCGTGGTTTTGATCTGGTGATGGGAGAACAACCATCTGATCGCATTTTCAGGTAAGAACTCACGGCACACACCTATTAATATGAACACGTTTCTATGGGTATCACTTTTTGAAACAGCATGAAATGATGTTTCAAATGCTTTTTTCTGAGATTTTATATGACGTTGACCCATTGGAAGGTTTTTTTTACAATAGGAAAATGTTTGATCATAATAGCACGACAGATTGACACTTTTAAAGATGGCATAGAAAGGAGTGAGAGCTGTAGATTTTAAACTAGGAAAAAAAGACTGTGTTCCTATTCTTTCCAACCAACCTTTCAGGACAGACTTTCAATGTTTTGAAATCTGGATGTTCCATGATCAAACTAAAAAGTTATCATCTTGAAGCTGTTCATAGTTAAAGCTGAGTCATGTTGTTGAGCTGTTTTAGTGAAATGAAGGACAGCTAGCATCATTGAATTTCATCACTCTTTACAGCATGAAAATCACAACAAATCAGCATTTCACTTTTTACCATTTGAGATCTACTGGGGGTATGTTTACCAAGAGATCTGTAATACAATTAATTATGTTTTATGTGTCAGGCATAAAATAGATTTTAAGAGTTGAACTACATGCACACACCACTCTGAAATAAGAGTTTCAGTTTAGTTCTCTAGTTCTAATTTGAAAATGAAAATGTATGCACTCACTAACTGTAAGTCGCTCTGGATAAGAGCGTCTGCTAAATGACTAAAATGTCAAATGTAAATATTGCTTTGGTGTACATACATTTGAGACTTGCATTAAAAATGTGTAATCAATTTGAAATAAAATATTTCTGTTCTTGTACTGATGTTGTATGCCCAGTGAAATTAATGAGAACGTGCTTTTTGTAGAAAACATGCAACCTCACGAAACCACAGAAAAAAGTTATATCACACAATGTTCTTTGTCAACAGAAAGTCAGCATTTGCGTTCTATGATATTCACCATCACCGTTGTTTTCTAATTTATTTTACAATTGGATACTGAGAAAGACTGGGGAGGGAAAATCCTTACCAATGATACAGTATATGCCTCCTTTGTATAAGACATACCTCTTCAAAAGCCAACGACACAACAACGATTACGCTGCTTACCACTGCTCTCAACAAAGAACATTACATTTCACATTTTAGTCATTTAGCAGACGCTCTTATCCAGAGCGACTTACAGTTAGTGAGTGCATACATTTTCATACTGGCCCCCCGTGGGAAACAAACCCACAACCCTGGCGTTGCAAGTGCCATGCTCTACCAACTGAGCTACAGGGGACTATAGGCTGTGTTCCAAATGGCACCATATTCCCTATGTAGTACACTGCTTTTGACCAGGGCCCATAGGGAATAGGGTGCCATTTGGGACATTGACCATATTTTCACACAGATTATTTAAGTCCTCTCATGGTTGTAAGCACTGTCTTTGTTAATCATTGGGAGCAGCCATCATATAAACATCTTTGTGAGGCTCTTTGATACATTTGTTTCCTCTTTGGAATGTTAATCTGCAGGGGGCCTGTCTCAATATTTTGCCCAGCATCAGGTTTAAAGTAACTTTGTGCTCAAGCATTTCACACCAACATCCATCAAAATTCAAACGTCTCAGGCTCCTCTTTGAACCCCCGCTCAGACAGTTATGTTCAAATTGTGCAGACATAATGAACGTTTTTAGAGGCTGCCCATTTGCCAAGTCACACATCCGTGTATTACAATTGAACAAAACAGTATTGCACTCATAAATAGAATACAAAATTACAATGTTTTGTTGTTTGCTGAGCTTGGGGATAATATGAATCAGGAACAGCATGTTAATAAAAAATCTGATCCCATACGTCAGTCAACAATATCTGATAACATGGGGATCCGTAATCGTGTGTCCCTTGGACAAAGAAGAGTCTAGCATCTAGATAGGAAACTTGTTAGAGTTCAATTAGGTGAAGCCATTTGCAAGCTGTCACAGTGCCAGGGCATGGCTTGGGCAGAAACCAGATTAAGTACCGGAATAAAAGAGTCTTGCTATCACTTAAAACACCTGCCCTGAATGGGTGGAAGGGGTTCACCCTCAAAGGCTGTTTTCTCTTGTTATTCCTTCCTGTGCTCATCAACTCCAGTGAGGAGTGTTCCATTGCTACTGTTCCATAAACTTCTGTTGCTGAAGGGATTTCTTGTTGATAGCCTTCAGTTTCAGATTGGCATCATCCCATACCACAACGAATATGCATATTTCCTGGAAACCCATACAACCCACCTCTGGATAAGGAGAGAGACTTATGGGGCTGGTAGCAATGACTTCCAGGGAAATAATAGGAGAAAAATACAGTTTTAGTAGACTTGCCTGCCTGCTCATAATCACTTTGAAGAATCCAGTGCATGATATTAAATGGTAGGACTGAGGGAGTTTGATTCATATAACACTCCAGTTGGAAAAAGGGGAGGTAATTGGAGTGAGATAATGAATGCTCTCTTCCTAAAGTGACTAGTAATGCATGCAGCACTTGTGATCAGGTGCCCTTTTCTTATGCTAAGTTAGCATTTTATTAGATGCAAATGGTACAATGTGAAATGCTAAATATGTTAAGTCTGCAAAAAACCCATTTTTATCAACAAGTCCCTTTTTTGTGCTACAAAATGATACTACTACATTTGGTGTCAAATAGAAGAACAACCTGTTTGAGAAATACATACATTTCTTATGCAGAACATCAAATTTGCTGGTGTCCATCGACTCATGAACAGTTTGACTTTGAGATTAATTTTGAAGCCTTTCTATAGTAAATTCAAGGGCATATCAATAATCCCTCTAGAATGCTTGGACTTCAGGCTTCAATTGCTCTCCAGACTTTAATTGTTTTATTTTATCTGGTCTGGTCTTCTGTGTTGTGAGACTTGTAATTGACTAATGCCTAGCTCTTATTAGGCTTTATTTAATTTTTACTAGGATCCCCATTATCTGACACCAATGGCGACTGCTAGTCCTACTGGGGTCAGACACATTACATTACAGACAAAGTACTTTACAAGTTACATACATTTAAAAACATGAACATGTAATGTGCGTGTGTGTGTGTGTGTGCATCTATCAATTACACAGTACATACACACAAAAAGTAGGTAACTTGGCTTGGATGTTGTTGTACGTGTTGCTGTGCATTGTTCTGTAATAATTTATAATTAAAGTGAGTTGTAGGTCTGTATGTGCTGTATCTATGTTCACCAAGAGACATAACATAATGATAATATACTAAACAAAAAATATAAACGCAACATGCAACAATTTCAAAGATTTTACTGAGTTACAGTTCATATAAGGAATTCAGTCAATTTAAATAAATTCATTAGGCCCTAATCTATGGAATTCACATGACTGGGCAGGGGTGCAGCCATGGGTGGGCCTGGGCCAATCAGAATAAGTTTTTCCCCACAAAAGGGCTTTATTACAGACAAAAATACTCCTCAGTTTCATCAGCTGTCCGGGTGGCTGGTCTCAGATGATCCCGCAGGTGAAGAAGCCGGATGTGGAAGTCCTGGGCTGGCGTGGTTACACGTGGTCTGCGTTTGTAAGGCCGGTTGGACATACTGCCAAATTCTCTAAAATGACGTTGGAGACGGCTTATGGTAGAGAAATGAACAATCAATTCTCTGGCAACAGCTCTGGTGGACATTCCTGCAGTCAGCATGCCAATTGCATTCTCCGTCACAACTTGATACATCTGTGGCATTGTGTTGTGTGACAAAACTGCACATTTGCTTTTATTGTCCCCAGCAAAAGGTGCAGCTGTGTAATGAGCATACTGTTTAATCAGCATCTTGATATGTCATACCTGTCATGTGGATGGATTATCTTGGCAAAGGAGAAATGCTCACTAACAGGGATGTAAACAAATTTGTGCATAACATTTTAGAGAAATAAGCTTTTTGTGCGTATGGATAATTTCTGGGATCTTTTATTTCAGCTCATGACACATGGGACCAACACTTTACATGTTGCGTTTATATTTTTGTTCAGTGTAGTTTGAGAACTGTTGATTGAATGCCATGAACCATTGCCAGAGATAGATTTCTAAAACTATTGAACTTGTAATAGATGATGTGCCAGAAAAAAACATAATGTGTCAGTCGAGTCAGCCTTTAGTTTAAGTGAGAGTAAAATGTTTTTGAAGACAACTGTGGATATGCTTGTGATTATCCAGAGAAAGACATACAAACAAATGCTCAAAGGCACCAAAGTCTCCAAGGCTATATGGGCAGCAGGCAGGCCATGGGTTTTATTGTATTTCTCTGTGGGAAATTAAAACAACCACTGATGTTCTCCATACTGATCTTCTGAGCTACCACTCAACAAGGCACCAGAAGACCTGGAATTCAGCATATTTCAGACAAACAAGCATTAGCAAAGCGGTAGTAACCCCAGCTTTTTTCAAATACTAAATTCAGTGGACAAAGTAGGCAATGTTCTTTCCACTTTGTTTCCAGTGATGTTGTTCCATTAGTACCATACCGTGTCAAAATCGGTGTCTTTTTCCTCCTCAGGTTCACATACACATTGGGGGAAGGGATGTGGTTACCATTAAGTAAAAGCTTTGTCATTCCACCT